TCAACAAAAGGAAGCAGATCCTGTTCGGTGCCCTCCTGGAGGCTTCTCACTGAGCCTGTTCGTCCTACACACAGCACACCACACAGTGCTTCATGCCAACACTGCCCAGCGCGCTTCTGTGAGCTCCGGCTGTCTGCAAGTCTCAGTCAGACGTGAATCCTCAATCCACGCCCGTGTCAACTTCATATTTTCTCGGTGATTCTTTTGGTGCCTCCCAACCTCTGAAGCAATGGATCAGCCCGAATGCCAATCCCTAACTCCCAAGAACTTGGCTCTCCTCAGGAAGACAAGCTGTCCCACCTCTGTCTAGACCTCTTCATGTGGGAGGCCAGGGTGAGCGGACACGCAGGCGCGGCAACAATGGCCCAGGACAGCCTGCACCTGTTTAGCGAGTGCCATGTCTTCTTGCCTAAAGGGCTGTCCTCTGGCTCTGCCTGGCTCACTGACATACATCACATTAAGCCCCTTTGCCATTACATTTCCCAGTCCCACCCAGTTCAGATTGCTGCATCGTGACAACTTACATCCCAAGACAAATCGTGGAGGGTGAGAGGAGAGTAAAGCAGGGATGGCTTTCGGAAGAGTAGGAGCCATGCAGATGCCAACATGACCTTTACCCTCAGTCTAGAGAACTGGTTTTAGAAGTCTTCTGTTGCCTTCTTGTGGATCTTTGTCTCTTGGCACATCACAGCAGCCTTTGGTCACCAAATGTTTCCAGATGGGTTTGGGATTTTGTTTCTTTAGCATCTTGGTAGTTGGTCTGCATTAACAGATCAAATGGATAGCCCAATTGGATAAATATTGTTCATCAATGGAGGAAGGCGAAGGTGGAGTGTTGGAAGAGAGGGCCGGCACAGATTCCTGCCAGGTGGCATTGTGTAATAGACAAGGCAGTGAGAGAGTTGTGTCTACAGCTCATCTTAGCGAAGCAGGGAGAGTTACTTGCCAGTTGCCAGAGCAGATTTAACTCAAACTCTCTTGCCCGTCTGGGAGAGCCCAGTTTGGTACTCGCGTGCCAAATGGAACTCAACCTCAGTTTTCTTGACTGCAGTGACAGAATTCTTAAATATTTCAGGATTGTTAATGGATATGACTTGCAAGCAGAGAAATGTGGTCCGAGGGAAGATCCTTATCCAATATCAGGAGCTGCCTCCCTGCCACAGGCTACTCATGCTTCCTCAGGAGTTAGGCAGCTTCGCCCACCTGTCTGCCTAGGTCCTGGGCTGTCTGTCCTCCATTCGTTGTATCACCTTTCTGAGGGCGCTAAATTCACTCACTCAGCGCTCATCCATTTCAACTTCCTTCTAGTATGTCATCCTACACAGGTTTTTCCTGCTCTCTGAAAGTAGAGCATCCCTACGAAAACTTCCGTAAGTCCGAATGGTGTAAAGTGAAGAAGCAACTAGCATTAACTTACATGGAAAAATTGGGGGACGTTCTTGGACCCAGAAAATAACCCCTCTTGGCTTTTCTGATACCCTTTGAGAAAAAACACAGACGCTCACACACATGGTTCGACGCTCTGTCTGCTTGATGCTGAGATACTAAGTATAGTTCTCTGGGAAGCAGGTTGGCGGCACTGCGCTCGCCGCTGCTGGGGGTGCGCGCTGCCTCTGTAAAACGCTTGCTGCAAAACAAGTGCTGAATGCTATTTTTGCTTTTTGCCTTTTTTCATAAAAGAAAATTCTCTTTGGATTTCTTTCTGTTAGTGAAAATAGGTCCTACTGTAAGTCTTTCATGACAACAAGGTGTCCTAATGTGAACTTTCAAAAAGTGGAGACACCTGTATTACACAGGCTGGAAACTATCCTTGCTCCTGGGATTGCATGTTCTTTAGTGTCTGCCCGTTCACTGTGGTTACTTGAGAGCTGAACTCAGAAGTGAGTTAAGTGGGGGCAGGGGCACCTGAGTGGCTCAGGAGGTTAAGCCTCCAACTTCAGTTCAGGTCATGATCTCTCAGTTCATGGGTCCAAGCCCTGCATTGGGCTCTGTGCTGACAGCTCTGCGCCTGCAGCCTGCTTTGGATTCTGAGTCTCCCTCTCTCTACCCCTCCCCTGCTCCTGCTCTGTCTCTCAAAAATAAATAAATGTTTAAAAAAAATTTTTTGAGTGGAGACAGAAACGGTGCATGAGGCATCCCTTTTACTAGTAAAGATTGGAGCTGAACTGGTGTGATTCTAGAATTACAGCTGTAGTAAAGTCTTCTCCATCAGGCATTCGGCTTCCTAGTCACAAAGGAACAGTTGCTGAAGGAATTTCAGCCAGGAGTCAAGTTATTCAGCTCTCACAAGATTCTATGAGCCTCTGTACCTGCAGTTAATACTCTGTACTCTGATACCCTGTTGTTAATTGATTTCTGCTGAAACTAGCTGGAGTGGATTCTGTGCCCTACAACTAAGCCTTGAATAACTAATGAATTGTCCACCCACAAGCCTCAGCTAGAAATATAAATTTCCTGAATGCCTCTTTCCCCCTCACTCCCCACGGCTAATTGATCCACAAATATTATCTAAATAAGTTGTTTTAAAGGAAGAATGATTAGAACACTTGCTAAAATGGTAAGGAAGCCTTTATTCAAGACTATCGTGAGAGGTGTCAAGGCCACCAAGAGAGACTGGGACCAACTTTGAATACAACAAAGACAGCAACAGGTTTATAGCCAACAAGCAAAGTTGCGGGGTGACGTCAGTAGATGGAAAATTACTAAAAGGAAACATCAGGCGTAGGGGAGATTCTTGTTAAGGCAACCTGGCAGGGTGCTTCTCGAAGGAAACCCCAGGTGATGAGATATGAAGCTTGGGGGGTTTCTTGATGAAAGGACTTAGGGTTCTTGCTAGAACTGGTTCTGCTAGTCAAGAAAAGGGCTCAAAGAGGCCTGACCAAAATTTAGTCGAAGAGAATCTCTCTGTCAGTTTTTAGATGAAAACGTGCTAGGTACAGCACAACAAGAGACTAGCAGTTCTGTTTCTCTTCCCCGTTTTGCTAACATTTTACGTCAGGCTGGGAGGGAGGGAACAGTTCAGGGATTTTGGTAGCTGGAAGTCAGAGTGCCCGGCGCAGAGTCATCCAAGGAGGAAGTGATGTGGTCAGAGAGCTGGGCGGGTGAGTTTCTATGCCACTGTGTGCATCCTGTTAAGGGACTTGTTTTGTCTTCTAGGAGCAGGGGGAGACAAGCCCCTGAAAGTGTTGCCAGGAAGGAAGTGATGTGACCTAGTTTACAAAGAAGACTTTGGCCGCTGTTTCCACTCGGTTGAGGTAGGGGTGAGGCAGGTGGGATGAAGGGCCAGTGGAAAGAACTTTCCAGGCCAATGCATAAAGCTCTACTTCATTCTTTTGTCATTTCTGGGGAGAAATTATAAGGGTGAGAGGGAGAAGCAACATAAGCATACATAAGCAACAAAAGAATGAAAAGGCTAGGAACATACCTGAGAAATAAGAAAGTCCACGGAAAATAGTCTACGAGACTTTGGAGACGAGCATGAAACAACTTTATAAATTGAGAGGAATTATTTCCAAGTGGGAAGACTCAGTGATGTCAGTCTCCCAACTGGCCTACAAAAGCAGTGGCACTCCAATTATATTCAATGACTGTTCTGAACCTTGACAATCAAGTCTTTAAGTTTATGTGGAAGGCAATGTGTTGAAAAATGCCCAGAAATCTTAGAAATAAGAACAATGTATATGTGTGCCCTTCAAGATATCGAAGCATAATTCAAAATTATAGTGATTTAAACTTTGCTTAAATGTTTATTTTTGAGAGAGAGGGAGACAGACAGAGACAAAGACAGAGACAGATCATGAGTGGGGGAGGAGCAGAGTAAGAGGGAGACACAGAATCCGCAGCAGGCTCCAGGCTCTGAGCTGTGAGCACAGCACCTGATGTGGGGCTCGAACTGACAAACCGAAACGATGACCTGAGCCGACGTCAGATGCTTATCCGACTCAGCCACCCAGACACCCAAAATTACAGTGATTTAAACAGGATAAAGTTGCTAGCATAGCACTTGGCCCAGGAAAAGATATGTAGACCACGGAACAGAGATCCCCAAACAGAATTAACACATCTTTATGCAAATTATTTTAAAAGCACAGGAAGTGTTTTAAATCGGTGAAGAAGGAATGACCTTTTTAATAAATGGCATTCTGGCAACTGGCCATCCATTTGGGTGGAAAAATGTTACATCCTTACTACCTCAATTATGCACAAAGATAAACATCAAGCTGGAGTGTAGCATCTTCTTCAAAAAGAAAACTATAAAAGCACTAAAAGAAAATAGGAGACTTTTTATCCTCTTTGAATTCTAATCAAGACAAGTTCTGAAGCTGTAAAATGAAAATTGACAAATTAGGTCTTAAAAAAAATGGTAAAGCCATTTTAAGACAAAATACCACTTGAAGATAAAAGACAATGGAGGGACTGGGAGAAGATATGTACAATATACAGGAGCGATTATTATGCATAATTTAACCACCACTCATACAAATCACTAAAGAAAGAAAACAACCTGAGGGATATGAAACAGCTCTTACCAGAAGAATATACAAAATGGCCATTTTTTCAACCTCGCAAGTAATCAAGGAAGTACAGATTAAAGCAGCTGATAAAGTTGAAAAGGATTAATAGTATTATGATGGGCACACCCTCCTACACCGTTACCTGTTTTGGAGGGAAATTTGGCACCCTCTGTCAAAATTCTATTTGTATGCATCTTTTAAGGTGTTGTTAATTTCTCACATGACAATAGGTTTTAAAAAATCATTTAGATCCCTGGAAGTGAGGCGGGGCCACGACAAACACCTAAAATGTGGGAGTGCCTTTGGGTTAGGCAGTGGACAGCAGCTAGAGTGATTTCGGAGATGAGGTTAGTGAAAGCATGGTGGGCCTGGAAAAGACTTAGTAGAAGGACATAGACCCGAGGAGTCTTGCTTACAGGAGAGCAAGGAAAACCTTACTGGAAATGGAGGAAATGTGATCCTTGTGACACTGGCAGAGAGATCACGATGGCCTTCCATGATGCAGAGTGGCAGATGTGCCCTACTAATGAATATGGGGTAAGACTAAGGAGATTTTCAGCTAGAATATTTAAGGTGCCTCCTGGGTTTATCTTTCGTTATCCTAAAATGGGAGAGGAGCAAGGTAAAGGAAAGGAAGGACTGTTAAACATAAAGCAACCAAGACTTAACTGTTTTTTTAAAACTTCCAAATTTTCCAATTTTGGCTTTCCAAGCCAGTGAGAATGAAGACAGCTTTCTGGCAGAGATGGAGCCCAGGTTCCCTAAGGAAAACATGGTCTAAACAGGAAACAGGGGCGCCTGGGTGGCTCAGTCGGTTGTGTCCAACTCTTGATTTTGGCTTAGGTCACGAAATCACAATTGGTGGGTTCGAGCCCTGGTTTGGGCTCTGCACTGTCATGCAGAGCCTGCTTGGGATTCTCTCTCTCTACCTCTCTCTGCCCATCCCCCACCAGTGCGCTCTTTAGTGTGCTCTTCTCTCAAAATAAATAGACTTAAAAAAATAAACATGAAACCTAGATTGTGAATATAAAATCCCTTAAGACCTCAGAAAGACCTATCGTTGTGTCTCAGAGTATCTGTCAATGAGACAAAAGGCCATGTAAATATTTTAACAGTTTGTCAAGCCTCTCAAACAACAGGGTTTCTTTTTTTTAATGTTTTATTTATTTTTGAGAGAGAGAGAGAGAGAGAGAGAGCGTGAGCAGGGGAGGGTCAGAGAGAGACGGAGACACAGAATCCAAAGATAGGCTCCAGGCTCTGAGCTAGCTGTCAGCACAGAGCCTGATGCAGGGCTTGAACCCACAAACTGTGAGATCATGACCTGAGCCAGAGCTGGACGCTGAGCCGACTGAGCCACCCAGGCGCCCCACAAACATCAGGGTTTCTAAGGATGCTGTTGTTCCCAGCAGCTGCCCGAAGTAGAGAAAGGCATATGTTGAAGAACTGGTGCATATAGCTTTTGTCTAATGGCATGAAGCTCGGTGAGATTCCCAGGGAATCAACAAATTTCAACAGAAATATATCAGCAGAAATGCTATCAGTTTGAACTGAGACACGGCGACAGTGGCAGATGAAAAGACAACTTTGGACCTGCAAATTTTGACAAGTAAAGAAATCTACTCAGCTGCAACCACATACTATTTTCCAAGATCAAGGGAAGATGACTCAGAACTCAAAGCCAGACACTGGAGTCAAGAGTCATAGAGAATTAATTCTGGGCTTTGAATCCTAATCAAGGAACTTCCAATATTTGCCTCGCAGGATTTGGGAATTGCTAAAAACCCCTCAGTGCTTCTCATTTTCCTCTTTTGAACCATCTCTACTGGTTATTTGGGACCACCATTGCATTTTACACGTGTAGGGGTACAGATAACTTGTCTGTTGATTAAGAGAAACGGTACCTCAGGATATTTAAGGATACATTTAGAAGCCTCATTGATGCTTAATGATTTAGATGCCAGCATTCTGGATTTCAGGGAAATGTTCTAAAACGATGAGACTTTGGGGGTTCTTGGGAGGAAGGGAATACATTTTGTATGTGGGAGGAATATAAACAATTCATGGTCAGAGAGTAGACTCCTCCCTTCAAAAAGTGTAGCCTGGGGGCGCCTGGGTGGCTTAGTCGGTTGAGCATCCGACTTTCGCTTAGGTCATGATCTCGCGGTTCGTGGGTTCGAGCCCCGCGTCGGGCTCTATGCTGACTGCCAGCTCAGAGCCTGGAGCCTGTTTCGGAGTCTGTGTCTCCCTCTCTCTCTGACCCTCCCCTGCTCGCTCTCGCTCTCTCGCTCTCTCTCTCAGAAATAAATAAAACATTAAAAAATTTAAAAAAAAAAGTGTAGCCTGATTTCTCTCGCCTTGGATGTGGCCGTAGTTAGTAACTGACTTCTAAGGGATTCAATGTTGTGGAAGCATCCTTATGAGAGGAAGCCATGGAAAGGTGTCGTGCCTTCCTTATTGCTCTTGTTCTCTGTTGGTTCACTTGGCCTGGGGGAAGCCAGCCGCCATGTCGTAAATATGCACAATAAACCTATGGAGACACTCATGTGGCAAGTAACTGAGGCCTTCCTCCAACAGCCAGTAAGTAACAATGGTCTCCTGCCAAGAGCCATGACAGCTAGCTTAGAATCAGTTACCCTTCAGCATTAACCAAGCCTTTAGAAAAATGGCTTCAGATGACTGCCACCTCATGAGGGACTTGGCCAGACTCACCCGGCGAAGATTCGTGAATTCCTGATCCGCAGAAAGTGTGAGATATTTATTATCTTATCATTTATTATTTGTTGTTTTAAGCTCCAGAGCCAGGTGGGGGACTTGAACTCAGGAACCATGAGATCATGACCTGAGCAGAAATCAAGAGGTGGTCACTCAACTGACTCAGCCACCCAGATGCCACCGTAGTTTTCTTTTTAATAACCTCTTCTTTTGGGAACATCAGCATCCTCCATTCCATGTGGGTCATATAGCTTCACTCTTTTGGTGTGCAAGAGAGTCTGTCAGTGGGGATCCTTCTTCAGGACTGTCAGGGATGGGTGAAGGGCATAAGCTTCCCCAAGGGGTTGTCTTGCTACCCAAGAAGAGGGCTATCACGAAGAGCAGGTCTGAGAATGAAGCCCACATGGAGAAAAAAATGAGTTGAAAAAAAGAGGTAGATAAGCAGCGGAGAGGGGAAAAGGGAGGGAAAGAGGAAGAGAGATGGCCTTAGAATCCCTGCCACAATGGATCTAACAACACTGTTTCTGCTTGCTTCTAGATCTGCTATCTTATCTCCAAATATGTAGAGAGTCCTGCCACCATAAATACTTTAAGTTGCTCTCAGGAATTCTTTATAAATGGAATTATTTTCTTTTTTTTCTTGAGGGGCGATGGGAGCTTCCAGGCTCAGACACTTAGGGCTGAGTCACCGTAGCACACTACCCAATATCCTATTTAGTAATCTTATTCTAATCTTGCTCTATTAAATTACCTTTCGAACCTGACTTATTTAATAATTAGTTGAATAAAATGTTTGCCACATTTGTGTTCTATTTTGTCATTGTCACGTTTTTAATTTTTTCGAAAATGATAGTGCGGCAATATTAATCGCTCATTAAGATACACTGCCTCTTTGTATCACCCGCCTAATTAACTGGGTCCAGGGCACCCTCTTGAAGTCTTCCGAAGTCCTCTGCCAAGATCCTCTGAGAAAACCTTTCGCTTAATTTTTAACCTCCCACCTGCTGAAAACTCAGCCCCGGGAAGCTTCGGCTCAAGCAGAACTGAGGTCCGAGGGCGGTCTGGGCTGGAGGCGGGACCTGAGGGGGGCGGGGGGGCAGGCCTACGAGGGACGCCGTCGCAGGAGCCCACGCCCGTCGAGCCCCGCCCCGCGCTTCCCAGGGCCTCCCCTCGGGGCGGGCGGGGCGCGGCGCGGAGGGCGGCGGGGGCGGCGCCACGGGCCGGGAGGCGTGCCTGGGCGGGGCGCGCGTCAGCTGACTCCGCCGCTCGCGCGCTCGGCGCTTCCTCCTGGCGGTCCCCGCGGAGGTCAGGCGCCCGGGCCGCAGCTCCCGCACGGCAGAGCCCACCGGCCATGCAGCACCGCGGGCTGGGGCTGCCGGCGCTGCTGGCGCTGCTGGCGGCGCTGGCCCCGCGCGCCTCCGCCGTGCCGGAGCCGGCCCTGTGGCCTATGCCGCTCTCGGTGAAGACGTCTCCGCGCCTGCTGCGGCTCTCCCGCGACAACTTCTCCATCGCCAACGACCCCTCGTCCACCGCCGGCCCCACCTGCTCCCTCCTGCAAGAAGCGTTTCGGCGGTGAGCGCTCCCTGCACGCTGCGGGGCGGAGGCGGGGGGCGAGGCGAGGGGAACCCGGCGCGCCTCCCTTCACCCCCGCGGCCGTGCGCGCGCGCGGTGTTCCCCGTTGAGCAGATGAGGAAACAGTGCGGGGCCGGCCAGTGACCTGACCAAAGTGATAGGTCTAGAAGAGGGGAGAGCCGGCTCAGACACACAGCAGCTGAAACCCCCGCTCTTCCCCTCCCCCTCCTGCCTGCTCAGGGACATCCTGGGCGTCCAGGAGCCCTGGTTCGCGTGCAGGATACTGAGGGGAAGGAGTAGGTCGCTCAGAATCTGCCCGGCTGCGCCTCGGAGGGGAGAGTAGGGCGGATGGAGGGGCCGGGGCGTGGCAGCTTCTTACTTGAAGAGAATCCTAGGAGGAAAATGAGTGCTTCCTGCTTGGGGCCAGAATTCCCAGGTAGGTTGCGGTCTGCAGGCCATCTCCCCACCCCGCGGGCCAAATCGGCGAACAGTTCGGAAGGCAGAAAGGCCTCAGGTTGGAACATTGCCCCGAACTCCCAACATCTGTTTGTTAGGAAACGTTCGATGCTTTCATCTCATTACTTGGATATAATGGGGGCAGCGCAGTGTCTACTTTTCTTCGCCCAGCACGTCCTGTGCTTGCTCACCCGCCTTTCCGTGCCTGCAACCCCGCTGGCCGCAGCCGGGGTGAATCAGGTAATGAGGAGGCAGCCCACAGCCTGGCTGTGCCGACCGCACCAAGCAGAAGGCTGATTGCACTTGGCAGGTGTTTCCAGCAGCCTTTCTTTGGTGTCCCTCCTGGGTAGGTGGGACTGTCCTGAAGGCCGGTCGTGCAGGGAGGGCGTGTAATTTGGTGCTGGCTGCAGTGCACTTTCCTTACCCAGATATTTGTCTCTGTTCCCGGTGGGCATCATAGCTTCGTTTCGCCAGCTGCCTGCGGGACAGGCAAGAGAGCTGGTGGGAAAAAATGCAAAACCAGGGTAACACCTGCTTGCCCCCAGGTAGGCCTGCAGCGGTGAGCCCAGGCTACAGAGGCCCAGGCAGGCTTCTCTCCTTCACTTTTCTACAGCCAAATAAACACAGTTACCCTCGTTTAAGGCACACACTCTAATGAGCCTTTGGCACTGAGTCTGCTAACAGGTCAGAATGGCTAGAGGCCGGGTGCCTGGGCATCTAGCGAAGGAAAAAGTACGCCAAGGTCATCTTAAAGGAGGGTCGGGGCCAGGAAATGTTTTAAAGCACCAACACGCTTACCGTTTTTGCTTTGGGACTCAGTTTGTAAAATTGTATTTTCTTTCTGTGCCCTATTGTTAGTAAAACAAGGACGAGGTCGGGGGGGGGGGGTGGATAGGTTGAAATGACAAGATGATGGCAAGAGAGCACGGAAGTCAGGTTGACAGTGTCGTCGGATAACAAGGACCTGAGTCAGTTGTGAGATGGTGTGAAAACAAGGCTTGGCATTTCGAGGCAGTGCGGGTGATTATTTGGAGTTTGCCTAAATAGTCATGCCTGGTGTGTGAAGCAGCTGTTAATTATACCCTGCACGGTTAGGAAGCAGGTTATAAAACATTAGCCTTGATGGCTAAGACCTGAAAGCAGTCAGGGGAGCATTCTAGGAATTCAGGAAGGTCTCAGTATCTATTTCAGAGTAAAAGTGCGGTATGGAGGGACGAATGTAGGGATGATGGGGATATGCCGAAGGCTCTAGGTGGTCGGGAGCACACGCTGTCTAGGCCCTAGGCTGTTCAGGACCAGAGGCTCCTGTCTTTGAGGTGCCCAACTTACATCACAAACCCTGCTTTGAGACAGTATGTTTCTTGCAAGGAGAGAGTTGGGTCTGGTGCATGGCAGCTTCTTTAACTTGTAGAACAAGGTCCATCATGTGCTGGTCACTCACTTAAAAATTTTTTTTTAATATTCATTTTAGAGAGAGAGACCAAGGGGGGAAGGGCAGAGAGAGGGAAACACAGAATGCGAAGCAGGCTCCAGGCTCCAAGCTGTCAGCACAGAGCCCGATGTGGGGCTCACACCCATGAACCGTAAGGTCATGACCTCAGCCGAAGTCAGATGCTTAACCGACTGAGCCACCCAGGCGCCCCGAGTCACTCATTTTTTTAAATGACGAAATAGCTACACTTCCTTAGTTCCTGAAAGATAAAATGAACCCAAATACCTTGGATACCCTTTGAGTTTTCTGTTAGTTTTAATATCCAGGACGTTTGGGACAAGCCAGCACCTACTTCCGAACTCAGAACTTTAATTTCCTTTTTTAAAAAATTTACCTGTGATAAAATACATATAAGATTTTTTTTTGATTCATTCTTCTTTGAATGAATTTTTTACTCTCATAACCATTTTCTTTTGTTTATTTAAGAGAGTGAGCAAGCACACACAAGAGCAGGGGAGGGGCAGAGGGAGAGGGAGAGGGCTAGGGTCCCAAGCAGGCTCTGCACAGTCAGCACAGAGCCCCACACAGGGCTCAAAATCAAGAACTGTAGGATCATGACCTGAGCCGAAACCAAGAGTTGGACGCTTACCCTGCTGAGCCACCCAGCCACCCGGCATTTTAACCATTTCTTTTTTTTTTTTTTTTAATTTTTTAAATGTTTTATTTATTTATGAGAGAGAGAGAGAGAGGCAGTGTGAGCAGGGGAGGGTCAGAGAGAGAGGGAGATACAGAATCCAAAGACAGGCTTCAGGCTCTGAGCTAGCTGTCAGCACAGAGCTCAGTGCGGGGCTCAAACCTACAAACTGTGAGATCGTGACCTGGGACGAAGTCCAACATTCAACCAACTGAGCCACCCAGGCGCCTCGCCATTTTAACCATTTCTAACTATACAGTTCAGTGATCTTAATTTCCTTCTGAACCTGTCAAGGTTTTACCATGGAAGGGGTCCTCAGCATCATCGTCCATTCTCTTCTGTCACTGCTTTACTTCCATATGCTTCCAAACTCATTGGAATTTTCCTACCTCTCCTTTTCTGGAAATAACACAAGATATTCTTCCACTTAAGTAGCATACACAGCTTCCGGCTTATCACAATCTATAAAATGTTATTTAAATAATTGCTTTGAAGTCTACCTGGTCTTTTAGCACCTTTAAATGCTGTTTTCACATCCCCTTTCTCTGGTATTTGGGTACCAGCAGAAGGTAAATTTGCAAGGCCCTGGCGAGAATTCTATAGGCTGCTTACCTTCTTTTGGGCGGTTTATGTGATAGCTAAGATATTTTTTTTTGGAAGGTAACAGAAACTGTTTTAGTCAAGCTTAAGCAATAAGAAGACCTATTATCTCACACTTGAGGAAGTCCAAAATAGGATTCCACGGCTAGTTGACTAACTAGCTCAATAGTATTATTAGGGAATCCGTGTTCTTTCCATCTCTGCCACCTTTAGTGTGGCTACAACCGGTCCAGGTATCACATACAGAGAAGTGTGGCTTTTGTGGCTCAGTTAGCCTACGAAACTTCCTGCCACCACCACCCCTGATGCCCCACCTCTGTCACTGGTTACAATTGGCATGCCTACCCAAGAGTGATGGGATATTGGTTGGATTACTGGTTCTTAACAGTCACTGCCTGTGAGGCACTTGGAAGTGTGGGGGTACCTTCTAAAGTTCCCGTGCCTGTATCGCACTCTCAGAGATTCCGATTCTGAAGGTCTGGATAGCAGTATTTTCAAAAAGCTCCCCCGGAAATTCCAATGAGCACCTTGGGGTGAGAGCCTCTCATTGGACCAATACTGGGGGACGTGGATTGGAGGAACCCCACTGGGATGTCCACTCTCACATATGTATGTGAAACTTGGCTATGGTGCGGCGCTTTAAAAGTCTATTTGAATTCATTTCTCACGCAGGTATCATGAATACATATTTGGTTTCAACAAGAGGCAGCGTCGCCCTGCTAAACCTAATAGTGTGGTGGAGTTACAGCAACTTGTCGTCACGGTTGTCCTGGACTCAGAGTGTGATCTTTTCCCCAGCATCACTTCGGATGAGTCCTGTGAGTACCTGCGTGATGCCAGCCTATCATGTTCTGAGCTGCTCGTTGGGGACTTAAGTGCCGGAAACAGGTTCCATGCCATGAACTATTGTGAGCTCTTGGCCAATGAGTTTATAATTTTTATTTTTATTTTTATTTTTTTTTATAATTTTTATTTTTAAATATACCATTAAAGTCTGATGCCAAAAGTAATGTAGAACATTGTAAGTACAGTAAGTGAAGAGGAGGAAGTAAATCAGAAGAGGAGGAAGTAAATCATAACCCCAGCACTCAGTTGACCACTGTTATTTCAGATGTGGGTAGAGTAATACATTGAAATAGTATACATTGATAGAAGCATAAACATGATAAGTAATTACATTAAAATGGGGTAATTCTGTCTGGTTTTTGTATTTGGCTTTTTTTTTTTTTGTCTAACAAAACAAACATGTAATTAAATATTTTTCTATGACCTCGTTTTTAGTGCAGTAACTTAGTGTAGATAACTTATTTTTGGATATTAGGTAATTTCATAGCTTTTATTTTGAAGATAAATCTGTGTGTATGTCCATGATCTCTCTTTGTAACTTAATTTGACACAAAAATAATACAGAACTGGGGGTGGAGCTGGAGCTACTTCATCTCACAATATAAATGACACTTAGCTGTACATTTTTGTTGCCTGAAATGTTTCTGTAGGGCCTCCTGGCTGGGAATAATGTGGGATTACACCAGGGAAGCAAGGAGAGCAAAGTGACGTTTAGGTGATAAATGAAGTGCAGAGAGAACAGACTTGTGAGCTGGGCATAAAGATAGAAGGGATACCCCAGCTCTTAGTGAAAAGAGGGACTCCTTTGTCCTCAGACTCCCTTACTGACAGTAAAGTACATCTCTTCATCCTCTTAGTATAGATCAGATTTCTTAATAATACATCTCTAAAAAATAAGTTCATTTCTCAATTCTGTAGCTGTTCTTAAAAAAGAAACCGGATACTTGGGCAACAGCAGACACGTGATTTCAGTTGACTGCACTCAAGACACTTTATGAATTAGGTTTTACAATCTGAATTGAGATAGAAAGGGTCACTGACTTGCCAGGGAGTCTTTGCTGTCTGTTAGCAGTAGTGATGACATATTGTAAATTCTGGAAAATACAGTGTTTTGAGACTGGAGAGTTACAGCTTTTCGTCCACATAGCTTTGCAAACCTTCCTTATTCTGAAAGGTAAGTTTCTTAGGCAAAGCTGACGGTGAAGTTTTATGGTTGAAGGATAAACCAGTTTTAGTTTTGAACTAGCTGATCAAGATGATAAGAAAGTTAACACAGATCCAAATGATATCAACTGTTGCAGACTATAAGAAAACGTTGGAGGGAGTGACAGCTGTTACAGCTTTATGTATTAAAAAAATAAAAATATGTATTCCCTGTGAACCACTAGTTTCTCGTGCAGAGCATTAATTACACATAAGAGGGATGTTTGATACAGCTTGCATGTAATAGTGCAGTTATAAACAAAACTACATGTTCGTCACCGCAAGAATGACTTAAGTAGGTCTTGTCAATCCACACTAAAGAATTCAGCAGTGAAGAATAAAGAGGGAGAGTAAAAGAACAGACTTGGGGAGCTAGTCAAGGTGAACTGCTGGGTTGGACAGAGGGCACTGTTAATCATACGTGTATGTAAATAGCTAGGAAGAGGTCTGTTAACTGTTTCTTCTGAGGAAAGTAGAGGGAGTTGAATGGGAATCTCAAAGGCGATTGTAGCCTTACCTATTTTATTTTTAAAGAATAACATGTTGATGTTATTTGTATGCACACTCTTGAAAACAAAGTAATCACAGTGCAGAAAGTACAGAAGGGGATAACTGAAAAGTCAAAGGTGCTGCTCCAACCCCACATCAGGCAGGTAATCATTGTTAACACTAGTAATTTGGTTTTGAAAGAAAAATCGAAATTCTCCAGCTTAGGTGTCCATATGTTAAAAAAACAAAATCTCGTTTTAACTGCTTTCTCTTTGTGGGATTTGTGTTGAGTTGAATCAGAACCCTTGTTAAGATCAGCCAGTCCTCAACTATAGGAAAATAATAGGCATCAAGTACATGCAACATGTTAATGTGATTCTTTGTGTTATAACCCAGGAGTCTGGTGGTTAAGAACTTGATAGAGGTGGAGAGGAAACATGATTAGATGAACCTCAAAATAGCAATCCCTGCCTTAGCTTGGCCTTTAGCTAACTCAGCACTGCAGTAACTGCTACCTTGTCACAAGATTGTCACATGAGAGAGTCACGTGATTTTCGGCTGTTGACAGCATGGGTGGCGGTGGTGGAGGGTGATGATGTAGTCCAGATGTGATACTAAGTCATTAACCTGCAGCCCGCAACTGTCTTTACTGTGGCAGGGTCCACATCTGTCACACCCTTCAGCTTTCAGTCTCTCCGTACTGTCTGGTGCTCTGCTTTATCTGTGGTTGACTCAACTCCAAACCTCTCCAAAAGCCTCAAATGACTATTGGCACAGCCTTAGACAGAGTGTTACTTAAAAGATGGAAAGATGAGCACTGCCTCCCTGCCACCCCCCACCCCCCACCCCTACCCAGAAGCAGCCCACTGGAACCTGTCCTTACTGGGTGTGAAGCTTTTATTGATTGGGCCAAAGCTGAATTTAGCTCAAGTGAGTTAGGAGGTGAATCTTAAGGCAGATTTAGGCTAATAGTTGGGGAAGGTGGGTGCAAGGCAAGTAGAGAAGCACAAAAGTAGAAGAGAAATCGTAGAGAGGAGTCTCTGGTCTCGTTTGGTGGAGTCGGAGATTTGAGCGATACTTGGATGCTTCACAAGGAACTACGGAACTGAGGAACGTTTTACACTTTCGATTTAAAGTCATAGCTGAATTAGGAACCTACTCTGTTGAGGGGCAATGGAGAGAATAATTGTCCTGGAGGGGAAAATGAGGAAGTGTGGAGATGTCACCCAGATTTCTGACGCGAGCAATTCACCTGGTCAGAGGGCAGTGCGGTGCCTCACAGAGACGAAGGCACTAGGGACAGGCAGGGCAGCGTGGATCAGGAAAGAGGGGGAGCTCAGCTTTGGGTGTGCAGAGTTCAAGGAATCCACAGGATATCCCTGTGAGGAACACACAGGAGGCAGTTGGAAAAACAGGTCTGGAGCTCAGGAGAAAGGAATGGTCCAGAAATACCAATTACATGTGTCGAAAATGCACTGTGTTACTGAAGAAGTAACGGAAACTTCCCCCCCACCCCCATGCAGATACTTTACTTGTGAAAGAACCAGTGGCTTTCCTCAAGGCCAACAGAGTTTGGGGAGTACTACGAGGTAAGTTCTTTTCTTGTAAAGAAACATTTCTGTTTGGTGCTTTGGGAAATCAGGCACGGCAAAATTTTGGTTTCTTTGACTCTTTATGGATGCTTCGTCAAGTGTTTGCAAAATATTTCCATCAAACACATACACTTAGAGCACAGAAGGAAGATCGTCTGACATTTTTAAAAATGAGGGTTATTATAATCGTGAGTGTAAGTCATTCATGCCCTTGGGACTGTAGTGTTGACAGACCTTTAAATGGCTCAACCTGCTCTGAGTCGGGGATTTGGTTTCACTTTGTTTCACTGTCGTTTCTTGCTGCCTTCAGTAGCAAGGATCTCTCTCCCTTGACTTAAAAAAATTTACTTATTTACACACAAAAGGTTTCAGATTACTGAACCTACTAATGTGGAAGCCTAGGAACAAAGAGAAAAATAATTTCCCCAATAAAACATATTCTCCTGTCAGTCCATGTAGTGGTGATGTTTTGAACTTGGTAAGGTGAAGTGCTAGATGGCCTCGATACAGCATAAATGTGTGCCATCTCTTGTGACATTCCTTACACAGTCTGCGTGATTCTTACCCAGTGTCTCTCCTCAGAGTTGTTCCTGATTTTATTACCAGTTTTCACTGGGGAATGGGGTGATTCTGCTTTTGTTTCTTGGCCAGGAATCACTTGATCTGGAAAGTCTTGTGAGAAGACATGGCAAGGAGCAGTCAGCCACACGTGCCACAGTGGTGGGAAAAGGGAGGGGGCCCTCCCCGCATTTTAAGTTCCTGTGGAGTTAGGAACAGAACCAAGTTGATAGGGACAGTGTGAAAGATACACATACCAAGAGAGGTTGAGAGAAAACCTTTCTTAAAAGCTTTTTCTGAATTTCAGCCAGAGTCAGAATTTCAAAGTTTGGGTATTGGGACATTGACTTTTACTGTGCAAAAGCTTCTTTTACTTCATCTGATTTGAGGAGATAGTGTTGTACTAACTTGCAAATAGAAGGGTTTTAAAAAAGAATCATTTTTCAATGTGAGCTAACCAAAGTGACAGTAATTAAAAATACAAGTGGCCTTGGCTTTGATTCAGATTGTTATCTGAAATAAAAAAAATCATTGTGATCCTATATGTAATACTAATACCGTTTTAATCTTATTTCAAAATAGAACACGAAAATATTTATAGGTATTTACTACAAATGTAACTGTAATCATTATCATCTAGGTCATTTATATATGATGTAAAGTGGTTTTAAGCTTTTTAGTTTGATCTGCCTTTCTTGTATGAAGTTTGTTAGGGAAAAACTTGCTGTGATCCACATCAAAATAAAATAACTTTTGAGAACACTCAGTGATTAGACTCTAGTTCCTCGGGTTGCCTGGAGGGCTCAGTTGGTTGATTGCCCGTCTTCTGCTCAGGTCATGATCTCATGGTTCATGGGTTAGAGCCCTGTGTCAGCCTCTGTGCTGACAATTTGGAGCCTGGAGCCTGCTGCACATTCTGTGCCTCCCTCTCTCTGCAGCTCCCCTGCTTCCACTCTGTCACGGTCTCAAAAATAAATAAACGTTAAAAAAAAATTAAAAGAAAAAACTGATTTTCTCTTTAACGTCAGATGATCCAAGTAATGTTCTAAATAGCAAGTGTATTGAGTGTATTGCCACTTAACAGAAAATTCCAAAGTTCCTCTTCCCAGCTGGGGCCTGTATTTGTGGGGAGCGAGAAGATACAGCACAAATGACTTTGAATTTTTTTCTTTTCTATTTCCTGTCTTTTCTTTTTTTTAGGTATAATTGACATATAAAATTATTAGTTTCAAACATAACATTATAATGATTGAGTATTTATATATACTGCAAAACAGTCGCCACAGTAAGTCTCGCTAATATCTGTCACCAAACATAGTTGCAGAATGTTTTTTTCTTGGGGTTCCTGGGTGGCTAGTTGGTTAAAAATCTGACTCAGTTTTGGCTCAGGTCGTGATCTCATTAGTGAGTTCGAGCCCAGCATCAGGCCCTGTGCAGACATCATGGAGCTTGTTTGGGATTCTCTCTCTCCCTCTTTCTCTGTCCCTCACCTCCCCCCACATAAATTAATTATAAACATTTTTTTTCTCGTGATGAGAACTTAGATGCTTACTCTCTTATCAACTTTCACATAGGCAACACAGTACTATTAACTGAAGCCAGTTACTTATTTTACAAGAGAAAAATGTACCTTTTGACCCCTCACTCATTTTGCCTACTCCCACTCCACACCTCCGGCAACCACTAATCTGTCCTTTCTATCTATGAGATTTTTTTTTGAGATTCCACATATAAATGAGATCACAGGGCATTTGACTTATTTAGGAGCAGAATGTTGTCACGTTCCATCCATGTTGTCAGAATGGCAGCATTTTCCTCCTTTCTATGGATAAATAATATTCCATTGTATATAAATACCACATGTTCTTTATCTCCTCATTCACAGGCGGATAGCCTGTTTCCTTATCCTGGCTGTTGTAAATAATGCTGCAGTGAACATGGGGGCACATACATCTTTTCAAGTTATTTTTTTCATTTTCTTCAGATAAATACCCAGAAGTGGAATCACTGGATCATATGTAATTCAACTTTTAATTTTTTTTTCTTAATTTGAGAGAGCAAGTGGGGGACAGGAGCAGGCGGGGGTTGGTGTGGGGAGGAGAAGAGAGAGAGAGAGAGAATGAATAAATGAGAATCTTAACAGGCTCCAGGCTCAGCCACAGAGCCTGATGTGGGCCTTGATCCCAAGACCCTGCAGTTGTGACCTTAGCTGAAATCAAGAGTTGGTTGCTTAACCGACTGCCACACAGGTGCCCCTGTATTAATTTTTGGAAGGACCTCCGTATCATTTCCCACAGGGACTGCACCAATTTATATTGCCACCAACAGTGCACAGGGGGTCCCTTTTCTCTGCTTCCTCACCAACACTTTTTGTCTTTTTGTTAATAACTTTTCTTTCAGGTTTGAGATGGTATCTCGTGGTTTTAATTTGCATTTCCCTAACGATGACTGATGTTGAGCAAGCTCCTTTTCATGTACCCCTTGACATCTGTATATCTTCTTTGAAAAAAATGTCTTTTCAGATCCTCTAGCCATTTTTAGATTAGAGTATTTTTTGCTATGGAGTTATGAGAATTCTTCTTATAGTTTGGATATTAACTCCTTATCAGATACACAGTTTGCAGATACTTTCTGCCACAGAGTTGGCTGCCTTTTAATTTTGCTTCTAGTCTTTTGGGGAAGTTTTTTAGTAAATGTAGTCCCATTTTATTTTTGCTTTTGGTGTCAGATACAAAAAGTCACTGTGAAGACCTATGTCGAGGACCTTACCACCTATGTTTTCTTCTAGTAGTTTTAGTGTTTCAGGTCTTACATTCAAGTCTCTAATCAGTTTTGAGCTAATTTTTGTGTATAGTGTACGATAGTGGTCCTGTGTTGTTCTTTTTCACGTGGCTGTGGCTTTCCCAACATTATTTATTGAAAAGACTGTATTTTCTACGTTGTATGTTCTTGGTTCTTTTGTTGTAAATTGACCATGCATGTATGGATTTATTTCTGGGTTTTCTGTTCCATTATGTTGATCTGTGTGTCTGATTGTATGCCAGTACTATACTATTTTGATGACAGTAGCTTTGTCACATAGTTTAAAATCACGGATTATGTTACCTCCAGCTTCATTCTTCTTTTTCAAAGTTGCTTTGGTGATTTGAGGTCTTTTATGGTCCCATACAGATTTTAGGATTGTTTGTTGTATTTCTGTGAAAAATGCCATTAGAAGTTTGATAGGGATTGAACTGAATATGTACAGTGCTTTGGGTGATACGGGTATTTTTTTTTTTTTTTAATTTATTTCTAGGAGAGAGAGAGGCAGCGTGAGCAGGGGAGGGTCAGAGAGAGAGGGAGTCACAGACTGAAACAGGCTCCAGGCTCGGAGCTGGCAGTCAGCACAGAGCCCGACGCGGGGCTCGAACCCACGAACCGCGAGATCATGACCTAAGCGAAAGTCGGACGCTTAACCGACTCAGCCACCCAGGCACCCCGGGTGATACGGATTTTTTAATAGTATTCTTCTAGTCCATGAGCATGGAATATCTTTGCATTCATTTGTGTCTTCAGTTTCATCAGTGTCTTAGAATTTTCAGGGTAGAGGTCTTGGTTAAATCTATTCCTACATATTTTACTCTTTCTGGTACAATTGTAAAGAAGATCGTTTTCTTAATTTCTCTTTCTGATAATAGAGAAAAAGTTTTTTTGTATGTTGATTATCCTTCAACTTTACTGAATTCATGGATTAATTCTAACAGGTTTTTTTGTGGAATCTTAAGGTTTTCTACATACAACATCACGTCACCTGCAAATAGTGACCATTTTACTTCTTCATTTCTGATTTGGATGCCTTTTATTATTTCCTTTCTTGCTTAGTTGCTCTGACTAGCTCTTCTAATACGAAGTTGAATAAAAGTGGTGAGAGTGAGCATCCTTGTCTTGTTCCTGATCTTTGCATCATTGAGTCAGAGGTTAGTTGTGGGCTTATCACAGACGGCCTTTATTATGTTGAGCTACGTTACCTCTGTGCCCACTTTGTTTGGAGTGTTTATCATAAGTAGATACTGAATTTTGCCAAGTGCTTTTTCTGCATCTATTAAAGATCTTATGATTTTGTCCCTCATTTTGTTAATATGAAATATCACATTGATTTGCTGATGTTGAACCATCCCTGCATTTCTGGAATTAATTCCATTTGATCATGGCGTAGGATTCTTTTTAAGTATTATTGAATTCAGTCTGTTAACTATTTTCTTGAGGATTTTTGTATTGCTGTTCATCAGGGATATTGGCAAGTAATTTTCTTTTTCTTACCTGGTTTTGGTATCAGGGTAATGTTGGCCCTGGAAAATTAGTTTGGAAGTGTTGCCTCCTCTTTTGCTTTTGTTTTCTTGGAAAAGTGTGAGAAGAATTTGTGTTAATTCTTAAAATGTTTGGTAGAATTCACTTTTGAAGCCTGGTCCTGGACTTTGTCAAGAGGTTTTGGATTAATGATTTACTCTCTTTGTTAGTAAGCAGTCTTTTCAGTTTTTCTTTTTCTTTCAGATTCAGTTTTTGTACGATGCATATTTCTAGGATTTTATCCATTTGTTAGCAGAAATGGATAGTAAAAATCCTTATGTTGTCTAATTTGTTGGCCTATAATTGTTCATAGTAGTCGCTTAGCCTTATTATTTCTGTGGTATCAGTTATGTCTCCTGATTCGTTTCTTTTTTTTTTTTTTTTAATTTTTTTAATGTTTTACTTATTTCTAGGAGAGAGAGAGAGAGAGAGACAGCGTGAGCAGGGGAGGGTCAGAGAGAGAGGGAGTCACAGAATCTGAAGGAGGCTCCAGGCTCTGAGCTGGCAGTCAGCACAGAGCCCGATGCGGGGCTCGAACCCACAAACCGCGAGATCATGACCTAAGCGAAAGTTGGACGCTTAACCGACTAAGCCGCCCAGGCGCCCCTCCTGATTCGTTTCTGACGTTGAACTATTCTTAGGTTAAAATTTTCCCTGGCTTTATACTTGTCAGCTAGAATGATGAATTATGGTAAAGTTGGGGCACCTGGCTGGGTCAGTCAGTGGAGTGATCTCAGGGTTGTGGGTTAAAGCACAATGTTAGGTGTAGAGATTGCTTAAAAATATTTAAAAAAGAAAATAGTAAAGTCAAGGGCAATTAGAAGAATGGCCTATAATAGAGTGTATTAAGGAAACAATCCACTTGAGTGAAAAATGTTCAGGAGATACTCTTTGTAGCTATGAGTAAAACATTTTTGAGTTTTAAGTTGGGCTCTTATTTATACTTTCATGGTGTTTTTGATCCTTTTCCCTCACTCTGTTAAGTTTATATACCTTCTAATACTTTGTTTTAATGTTTGTTTATTATTTCTGAGAGAGGGTGTGCATGCGTGGGGAAGGGGCAGAGAAAGGGAGACAGAGGATCTAAAGTGGGCTCCTCCCTGACAGCAGAGAGCCCAATGTGGAGCTCGACCCATGAAATCCACAAGATCATGACCTGACCTGAAGTCAAATGCTTCACCAACTGAGCCACCCAGGTACCCCAAGTATATGTATCTTTTAAAGTGACTATATTTTAGCATAGAAATTCTTTTTTACAGTACTATATACTAAGTAATATTTTGTTGTTATTAAATCACTATTCATTTTTAAGTTTATCATTCCAACAAAACCTAGGGTATGGGTACAGTGAAGTAAAACATTTTAATTCGATGGCAATAGAGAGTTTTTAAAAACTGAGCTTTGATCTAGAAAAGATGATAGAGGGTATAGAGGCAATATATTTAGTTTTATTTGCCTTATCTGGTTATGGGTCTCCGTTTGGATAATACAACTTTTATTGACTCAATATGTTATATAAATTAATGCAGTAAATTATAAATTTACTCTCCCTAGGTTTAGAGACCTTTAGCCAGTTAATTTATCAAGATTCTTATGGGACTGTAAGTATGATTATTATATGTTACTAAATTGTTGGCTATCCCTTTTACTATAAGAAAAATGTAAAGTTTTTAGCTGTTTATTGCTTCTTGAACGTTTTTCTCTCTAAATTTTTATCTTCTCTGGTAAACGTAAATTTTACTTTCTTTGTTCTAAATTAATCTTTTATCTAATACTTGCATAGATGCAGTCTTCACTGAGTTCAAGTCAAGAGAGTATTCTAAAAATAAATCACAATTTTGTTTTGTAGTTCACCGTCAATGAATCCAACATTATTGATTCTCCAAGGTTTCCACATAGAGGAATTTTAATTGATACAGCCAGACACTTTCTGTCAGTTAAGACTATTCTTAAAACTCTGGTAGGTGATTATTATTATGATTATTTTTTCTGCTTTCTGTTCCAAAGATGTGTACTTTTATGGTGTTACTTAACATGGGTTATTTACAGGGGCACCTGGGTGGCTCAGTCAGTTAAGCACCGGACTTCAGCTCAGGTCATGATCTCACGGGTTTGTGGGTTCAAGCCCCACATCAGGCTCTGAGCTATCAGCACAGAGCCTGGAGCCTGTTTCAGATTCTGTGTCTCCATCTCTCTCTGCCCCTCCCCTGCTCACACTCTGTCTCTCAAAAATAAATAAATGTAAAAAATTAAAAAAAAAAAACAACAACATGGCTTATTTACACTCTTGGATAGGTTGGAAAAGGGGAATTGTCTGTCATATACTGAAGCACTGAGGTTTCTTCTTTCCATCTCTTGGAAAGTATATTTCTTCAGCTGAAAAAAGTTAGTGTCCCTTAATGATGGGACCTGCACTTACTTTAAAGTAAGTCATAGAAAGTTGGCTAGAAGCTGCCAGGGAAATGGACTTCAGATGGGGGGAGTTGGGGATGAGGTTGATGGTAACTATTTTCTCCTCTCTACTTTTTATTGTTTCATCTCCACTATCATCAGTGTGTAGGGGTAGGGAGGTTTGTCCCCATGTGTTTCTATATCTTCACTTGATCGCTTTGGAATACACCATATTATTAAAAAGAGATTTTTACATTTATATTACTGAATTTTATTCTCCAAAAGACATTATTGTCACTCTTATGAAAGAAATAAATGCTTAGTGTAAAAAATTTGAACATAGATATACATAAAATAGGTGGTAACCCCATCATTCCATTTACCAAAGGTTGACATAAGTTTCTGTGTCCCATTTATCTGATCTTGCCCTTAAAAATGCATATTTAACACCCATGACATGACTTTTGAAAAAACTTAAATGGAATTGCACTTTTGCTACCTTAAAAAACATGTTATGGACATCTTTGTATGAAAGAATAGGTAAGGTCTGTACTGTTGTTTAAACAGTTGAACATTCTGTTTTATATATCATGATGTGAATGTAACTGTTCTCATGCTGATGATCATCTAGGGTAACTTATGACCAACAGTACTATAGAATAAGCACTCTTAAATTTGCACACTTGTCAGGACTTTCCTCTAAGATCAGGAACAAGACAAGGATGCCCACTCTCACCACTTGTATTCAGCATAGGACCAGAAGTCCCAGCTGCAGCACTTGGACAAGAAGTAAAAGGCATCCACATCAGTAAGGAAGAAGTAAAACTGTCACAATTTGCATAAGACATCCTACTCTATACACAAAACCCTAAAGACTCCACCAGAAACCAATAAGTTCAGTTAAGTTTTAGTATAGAAAGTTAATGTACAGAAATCTATTGCATTTCTGTACACTAATAATTAAACAACAGAAAGAGAAAAAAACAATCCTCTTACAATAGCATCAGAGTTAAAATACCTGAAATAAACTTAACCAAGGAGGTGAAAGACTTGTATTCTGAAAACTATAAAATGTTGATGAAGGAAACTGAAGCCAACACAAACAAATGGAAAGATACTTCAGTCTCATGGATTCTAAGAATTAATACAGTTAAAATGTCCATACTGTCCAAAGCAATTTACAGACTCATTTCAATCCCTATCAAAATACCCAAAGCATTTTTCTCAGAACTACAACAAATAATCCTATAATTTGTGTGGAACCACAAAAGACCCTGAAAAGCCAAAACAATCTTGAAAAAAGAATCTGAGAATATCAAAATCCCAGATTTTAAGATAGAATACAAAGCTGCCGTGATCACAAAAGTATAGTAATGGCACAAAAACAGACACACAAATCCAAGGACCAGAAGAGAGAGCCCAGAAATAGGTCAGTTAATCTACAGCAAAGAAGGCAGAAGGCAGGAATGTACAATGGGGAAGAGACAGTCTTCCAACAGTGCTGGGACAGCTGTACAGCTACATGCAAAAAATGGAATCGGATCACTGTCTTACACCATACACAAAAAATAAACTCAGGATCTAGTTCTTTTTGTGGCTGATATTCCGTTGCGTGTGTGTGTGTGTGTGTGTGTGTGAATGAATGTGTGTGTACATACACATTCACACACACACACACCACATTTTCTTTGTCCACTCGTCTTTCAGTGGACACTTGGGTACTTTCACAGCTTGGCTATTGTAAATAAATGCTACAGCAAACATAGGAGCACATACATATGTTCAAATTGATGTTTTTGTTTTCTTTGGTGAAATAACCACTCATGGAACTACTAGATCGTACGGTAATTCTATTTTTAATTTTTCAAGGAACCTCCATACTCCACAGTGACTGCACCAATTTACATTACCAGTAACAGTGAACAAGGGTTTCTTTTTCTTCACATTCTCCATATCGAGCACTTGTTATTTCTTGTCTTTTTTTAGCCATTCTTACAAGTGTAGGGATATAACTCATTATGGTTTTGATGTGCATTTCTCTGATGATGAGTGATGCTGAGCACATTTTCATGTATCTGTCTGCCATCTGTATATCTTCTTTTGAAAAATATCTCTTCAGGTTCTCTCCTTATTTTTAATGGTATCATACTGAGGTTTTTTGGTCTTGTATAAGTTTTTATGTACTTGGATATTAAAATGTCCTGGGTATATTATTTGCAAATATCTTCTACCATTCAGTAGGTTGCCTTTTTATTTTGTGGACAGTTTCCTTCACTGTGCAAAAGGGTTTTTTTTGTTTTGTTTTTGTTGCCCTTGCCCAAGGAGACCTATCCAGTAAAATGTTTTTAAGGCAGGTCACAAAGAGATTACTGCCTAAGTTTTCTTCTAACAGTTTTATGGTTTCAGGTCTCCCATTTAGATTTTTAATCTATTTTGCTTCCATTTGTATGGTGTGTTTTTCCAGCTCTTCATTTTCAGTCTGTATGTTTTTTTTAGGTGTAAAGTGAGTCTCTTGTAGACAGCATATAAGTGGGTCGTTTTGTTTTGTTTCCATTTAGTCATCCTGTGTCTTTTGATTAGAGCATGTAGTCATTTTACATTTAAAGTAATTATAGATAGGTATGTAGGTATTGCCACTTTGTTCATTCTTTTATGGTTGTTTTTTCCTTCTCTGTTCCTTTATTTGCCCTCTTTGTGGTTTGAATGCCTTTCTTTGGTGTTTTGGTTGGATTCTTTTCTATTTTTTATGTGTCGATTACAGGTTTTTGATTTGTGGTTACCATTAGGTTCATAAATAGGCTCATAAATAATAAGTGTACAGCAGTCTGTTAAGTTGGTGGTTGCTTATGTTCAAACATTCTAAAAGCACTAAATTTTAATCCCCCCTCTGTATTTTATGTATATGATGTCTTATGTAACTTCTTTTCTGTGTGTATATCCTTTCACTGATTTTTGCAGATAGGATTTTACATCTGTTATATTTAAACCTCCATACTGGCTTTATAAGTGACTAATCCACTTTTATTATATATTTGCTTTTGCCTCAGAATTTTTTTCTTTTCATAATTATCTTCTATTTATGGCCTTAACTTCCACTTAAAGTATTCCCTTTAACATTTCTTTTAAGGCCACTTTAATGGTAGTGAGCTCCTTTAACTTTTATTTGCCTGAGAAACTCCTTTTCTGAATCTTTACTCCCCCAGATTAACTAAGTTTTCAGGTATTATTTATTCAGATAACTTTTCTACTCCCTTCTCTCTCTCTCCTCCTGGGATTCCTCTAATGCAAATGTTACTACACCTAATGTCATCTCTGGGTCCCCTTAAGCTATTCTCATTTTATAATTTTTTTCTTTTTGCTGATTTTCTTGGTTGCTTTCCATTACTGTCTTGTAGATTTCTGATCTACTCTTTTGCACCCTCTAACCTGTTTTTTCTAGTGTTTTTTAATTTTAGTTACTAAATTCTTTATCTTTTCTTACATTAATATTTTCTCTTTGTTGACATTCTAAGTTTATCCACTCTCTTCTCAAGTCTGAGTACCTTTATAACTGTTAACTTTGTTTATTTAAATTCCAGGAGGCTAAGTATAGTGTAACATTAGTTTCAGGTATGACCATTACTTCCGATTCTGTATCACGTATATTGCTTTTCTTTGTTTCACTGAACTCTTGGTGTGATTTTTCATCCTTTCCGTTTGGGACGTTCCTCTCTTCTCATTTTTTCTCTGTTTCTATGGAGGTCTGATGTGTCTCTTGGTCTTGAAAGTAGTGACCTTGTGTAGAAGGGGTCTTTTGGTGCCCTGTAGCACTGTATTCCTGGTCACTAGAATCAGGTGTTCAGGGAAGGCGCTTGTGTAGGTTGCATGTGCCTTATGTTGTGGTAGAGCTGTTTGCCTTTAGCCCATTTGACTGTCATGACCCACGTGGCTGCTCTGAGTACAGCGCGCAGGCAGGGTTTGGTCCCTGCACTGTTGAAGGGCCTGAGTCCACTGTGGGCTGGGGGTTGGGGGGCAGCAGTCAAGACGCGTCTGGAATTGGCCAGTTTGCTGCAGTTGTGGGAGCACCTCCTGGCAGGAGTTTCTCTTGAGAAGCCAGCTACAAGACTCAGCAGCTGGGTCTGCAGGCATGTTGGTATGTGGGGTTCTCCTCCTCTCCGTGGGGCAGGAGTCACTTTGAGGCAGGGCATGTGGTGATAGCAAGACAGTGTTCAGCTGCATAGGCTTGGGGAGAAGAGACATGAATGTCTGCCACCACTTTCATTCTTAAGAGAAGTCTCCTCAAGGTCCCTGCCCTTCCAGTGTGTGTTCTGAGATTAGCAAATAAATCTCCTTTAGGATACCCCAGGCATTTTTCAAACCGTCGCTTCTGGGCTCGTGTGGGTGGTTTTTATCATGTTTGGGGCAGAGATTTCGTTTCCTGTTGCCCTCTGGCTCTTGGAGGTAGGCGCATTGATTTTTAAAGTCCCACTGGTTTTCAAAGCCAGATGTTAAGGAGACTCGACTTCCCAGTCCAAGTCCCCAATATCTGGGGTGCCTGGTGTGGGCTCTCAGGTCTCCGGGCATCTGATGTCTCACCTGATTGTGGTGAGTCTCACCAGGGGTTTGGTTCCCAACCATATCTCCATCCGTCTGTTGCAGCGCGGCCTTCGCTCTGAGTAACCATGGAAGGTCTGTTCTGCCAGTCTTCAGTGTTCGTTGTCCACATGTAACTATTATGTTGGTGTGTCAGTGGGACAAGGTGTACTTGGGATCTTCCTACTGTACCTTCTACCTGACCTCCACGTTTTTATCTGATTTCTATATCTTATCTGTATCTGGGGCTGGCAAACTAGAGCCCAAGGGCCAGATCCAGTTTGATTCTGTTTCTGCTAGTGAAGTTTTCCCGGAGTACAGCCACATTGCTTGTTTACAGTTGATCTTGCTCTACAACTGCAGGATCAGCTGTGACAGAAGCATGTGGCTCACAGAACCAAGGTCCTCACTGTCTGGCCTTTCATGAAAAAAGGCTGCAAGCCCCTGGCCTTTATTGAGGCACTCCCTCCTCTAATGGTAAAAATCTTGCCATTTTCCGCTAAAAAGCTTTTACTTTTTGGCATAATTGCCTTGTAGTTAAGCTATTTCCCATATGCATTAGCAAATCCTTTCAGTCCTAATGGAGAAGAGAGGCTTTAAGTTTTAATTATCTGGTAGGGCAAACAAATCTCACCCTTTTACTATTCTTTATCTTTTTCAAATAGTCTGTTTATATTTTACATAAAGAATATTATTTACTCCTCCAGAACACCCATAAAATTGATAACAACTTTTCCAAAAACTTCTGAGAATTTTACGTTTTTACCAAGTTTCTTTCATTTCTAATGAAGGGATAGCACTCAAATGTCAGAATTGTGATTAGGTCTGTAAATACTTTTTCTGTGGAATACTTAAATACTCCATTTTTCCCCCTGCTCTGTTCCCCAAAATGAACATTTTTCCATTCTAAGCCAATGCCTAAATATGTTGGAATTCGTAAGATGACTACCTTTTCCTAGAACAAAATTAGAGCTACCTGTTTAGAATAAATACAAATGCCGAATAGGCTTTTAAAAAGTAACATGCCATATAAGATAATTTACACTTCTTTCTCATTCTTTGCTGAAGAAGAAATTTATTAAAAAAATTTTTTTTGTGTTTGTTTTTGAAGGAGAGAGACAGAATGTGACCGATGGAGGGGCAGAGAGAGAGGGAGACACAGAATCCAAAACGGGCTCCAGGTTCTGAGCTGTCAGCACAGAGCCTGATGCAGGGCTTGAACTCATGAACCATGAGATCATGACCTGAGCCAAAGTTGACCGCTTAACCGACTGAGGCACCCAGGCGCCCTGAAATTTATTTTTAAAAATTTATTTTTTGGGGGGATGCCTGGGTGGCTTAGTCGGTTAAGCGTCCGACTTTCTCTTAGGTCATGATCTCATGGTTTGTGGGTTCAGACCCCGCGTCGGGCTCTGTGCTGACTGCCAGCTTGGAGCCTGGAGCCTGTTTCAGTCTGTGACTCTCTCTCTCTCTGACCCTCCCCTGCTCACGCTTTCTCTCTCTCTCCTAGAAATAAAACATTAAAAAAAATTTATTTATTTTTGAGATAAAGCATGTGGGAGGAGCAGGGAGAGAGAATCCCAAGCAGGCTCTACGCTGTCAGTGCAGAGCCCAATGCGAGACTTTAACTCACGAATCGTGAGATCATGACCTGAGCTGAAATGAAGAATTGGATGCCTAACCAACTGAGCCACCAGGCACCCCTGAAAAATAATTTTTTTTTTATGTTTTTGAGAGATAGTGAGCAAGGGGAAGGGCAGACAGAAAGGGAGACAGAGAATCTGAAGCAGGCTCTGTGCTGACCGCAGAGAGCCCAATTTAGGGCTCAAGCTCCCAAACTGTGAGATCATGACCTGAGCTGAAGTTGGACACTTAAATGACTGAGCCACCCAGGAGTTCCTAAAAGGAAGCAGACACATTGGAGACAAGCTTGAATGTAGATAATTGGATTGTGTATGTATTATATCCGTGGTACATAACTTTTTCACATGTTTGCTTGCAGGATGCCATGGCTTTTAATAAATTTAATGTTCTCCACTGGCATGTAGTTGACGACCAGTCTTTCCCTTACCAGAGCGTCACTTTTCCTGAGTTAAGCAACAAAGTGAGTAATTCATATTATTGTAGTCTGTCTTCAAAAATGTTTGTATGGTTTCATTAGAACTTTTTAGCTTAAATGTTTCTTCTTATGGATGGAATTAAAGTATAAAACTTACATATTTATGATTTTCAAACTTCTTTAATAGGCTCTGGCTTAGTGATTTAGGTCTATAAAACTTTTTATAATGGCTAAGTTATAAATCTAAGTAATGTATAGTAGTTATGTAAATAACATTTGAAAATTTTAAAAGAATATAGGAGATCTGAAGCGTTCATAATAAAAGGTTAAGTATTTTTATCACATAATGTGGAATTGTTATTGAATACTATAAATACTTTTTGTTCTCTGAAAAGTACGTAGATTTTTTAGAGATGAGAGCTTCTTAGAAAATAATGGCTGTCTGTGTTCAAATTAATTGTGTTAAAAACCAGTGGAGGTGGGAGTGAGCCTGTGTCATCTCGTTTAATCCCCCTGTAATACAGAGAGAGTAACTGACATCCCTGTTCAAAGTTGCAGTTAGGACGGGGAAAAAACAGGACTCTAAACGTCCTCTATCCTCAGTTCCCATGCTCTCTCCAGCGTTATGATGTAGTATAGGTTGAAACGTTAGTGGCACCCCTCTGTTTTTGTTTGCTTTTGCTTTATTTTTTATTACAGAAAATTTCACACGTGTACAGAAGTAGAAGAATGATTTCTATGTCCTTGTCACCCAGCTTCAGTAACCAGAACTTGGCCAATCTTGTATCACTTACCCTCACCCTCCCTTCCTACCATATTTTGAAGAAAATCCCAGACACCATATCACATTTGTAAAAAGGTCTTTTAAGGAAAAAAAAAAAACCCCCTCAAACCCATAATATATTATTGCAGCTGAAAAGTTAACAATAATCCAACTAGCCAATCATTGTATTTCCCCAAGTATTTTACCTTTTTTTAATGAACAAAATCTTGTTTGCAATGGCATGCAAATGAGTTTCATACACTGTGGTCAGTTAGTATGTCCATTAATTATCTTTGGTCTATAGGTATCTACCGCACCCACCTATTTTTTTTGTAATCTGTTATTTTTGTTAAACTAAATCATTTGTCTAGTTCCCAAAGTCTGGGGTTTGCTGATCTTGTTCTCATACCGTCAATTAATGTTTTTCTGTCCTATTTTTACTATGAGTAGTTAGAACTGATCTTGATTAGATATAAATTTGATTGGGGGGGTGAGACAGGACTTTTTAGAGTTGAGCATTTATATTTATAAATTTAGACATAGCTTATAATTTATATGTAATTTATTACTTGCAAAATATGCTTTACACTAATACCTTCAATCGACTTTTAGTTATAACCCATATTGATTTTTCAAGTGACCTACAGAAGGATTGAGGGTAATCTTAAAGAAAAAAAAAAATCAAATCACTTATCAGAATATATGTCTGGTAGAATTTTTAAAACTGATAGTAATTAAAATGACTTTGAAAGGCAACAGCTCAGTTTTGTAATAGTGTGTGAACTTTTATTCTAAAACTGACCAGGGGAGTGTAACCAGAGTTTTCACAAGTTTGACTTTGGAGTCAGACATTTATTTGTACTTTGTTGTATGTTCCCTGAGCATGAGGGTAGATGTCCCTGAACCAAGGGGAACTAGAAGAGATAGTTCTATTAGTAAATCTGTAATTAACCCACAGTGTGCCGAGAGCTGACAAGATATGGTAATAAAATAATTTAAATGAGTCCACCAGGGTTGCCTGGCTGGCTCAGTCCATAGAACATGCAGCTCTTGATCTTGAGGTAGTGAGTTCAAGCTCCATGTTGGACATAGAGCTTACTTGCAAATGAATGAATGAATGTGGGGGTTAAAGAAAAATAACAAATAAATGAGTCCTCCACCACCACATTGGACTATTTAGTACACTGTTATACTAGAAAAAAATACCTGTCTGCTAGCACTATGCAAACTGAACCCTTAACAGTATCCTGGACAAATTATTTCATACATTTTAATAAATATGGCTTTACAGGGCAGCTATTCTCTGTCTCATGTATATACACCGAATGATGTCCATACAGTGATTGAATATGCCCGATTACGAGGGATTCGAGTCATACCAGAATTTGACAGCCCTGGACATACACAGTCTTGGGGAAAAGGTAAGGAGTGTCATTTTTAAGTTGCAAAGACTGAGTATCTGAAGTCCTGCATCTCTTAATGTTTGTTCATTTTTTTTGAGCCAGAGCTGGGGGTGGTGGGCAGAGAGAGTAAGAGAATCCCAAGCAGGCTCTATGCTTTCAGCAGAGCCTGACTTGTGGCTCAGACTCAGAAACCATGAGACCATGACCTGAGCTGAAATCAGGAGTTGGATGCTTAACTGACTGAGCCACCTAGGTACCCCTGTTCATTTTGTCCTTAATACCTTGTGGTTTACACAAGGGTGGCATTACTGACCAATGGAATTCAGTTAAGTATTGTGTGTCTATGGTGGGCAAGTCACTGCCCAAAGTGTGAAAAAAAAAAAATGCTAAAGGAAAAATTAGAGGTAAAACATGTTGAGTTTAAGAAAGTTTCCTGGTTGAGATAACACTTAAAATGTTTTTGAGAGATCAAAGAATATATTCATGTTTCTGACAGAGGGAACAACATGAGGAAAGGCATTAGTTGGAATGTAATGCAGCCAAGAGTAGGAAGCACTATAGGGTGGTTAAGAACTGAGTCTGGAGTGACTCTACCTGGGTTTGAGTCCTGCTTCTGCCTTTTATAAACTGAGTGACTGACCTTGAGCAAGTTGTAGAATGTCTTATCCGCAGTTTCCCCATCTCTAAAATGTAATAACTATAATTTTTTGACGGTTAAATATGTAACAGCGCCTAGCATTTACAATTGTTCAGTATTATTAGGGTATATGGAGAATATTGAGAAGTCAGTCTGCTGAAGTACAATGTGGAGGGCCTTGGGTGAGGAATGTGGGCTCCCTCAGGACTCATGGAAACTAGTGAAAGAAAAGTCATCACATGATGGGAACCACATTTCAGCAAAACCTATATGAGGAAGTGGTCGACTGGAAGGGGAAGGAGATGAAGTCCTAGACCAGAATGGTGACAATGGAGATGGAAAATAATGTACAGAACTGAGAGACATTCTGGATATATTCCCCCTGGAGCTTGGCAACTGATCAACCCCGAGAAAAGAAGGAAAAGTTAAAGAGGAGGAAGATGGTAAATGCTTACCAGAATACATACTCAGTAGCAGCTACTGAAGGAGCTTACAGAATCGAGAATCTGGCTTTTGTTAGACGGTGTTTGACATGCAGCTGGGATATCTAATTGTGTTGAGTGGGGAATTTGAAATATGGATTGAAACTCAGGAAAAGGGCTTGGGTGAGTGAAGATTTGGGAGTTACAAATAAACGAGATACCTGAAATGGACAAAATAGGGTGAGGAAAGGGAAACAGAAGTACAGGGGATAGGATTCAAGAAACAGTTGCTCATAAGGGTATCTTTTTTTGTATAAATTCTCTTACAGCTTCAACAAAATAGAGTAGTATAATCACATGCAAAGCCATGTCTTTGTGATTAAAACACTTCTTCTTCCAGGTCAGAAAGACCTCCTCACTCCATGTTACAATGAACGTAAGCAGTCTGGGACCTTTGGACCTATAAACCCTATTCTGAATTCAACTTACAGCTTCCTGTTTCAGTTTTTCAAAGAAGTTAATATGGTGTTTCCAGATGACTTCATTCACTTGGGAGGAGATGAAGTGGAATTTAAATGTTGGTAAGACAATTCTTTAAAAGCCTTACTTTTTAAACCATTGCATTTGAAGTAGATATTAGAGGTCTCCCTGTGAAAAGGGAATATTTGGGAATCTCTGCTTGCTAGGTTTCACGTTAGCAACATAACTTGAGAGTAAAAGCTTTTAGGAAGGAGAATCAAGATGTGAAAGATAGTGGAGACTAAAAGGAGACTACAGTGAACAAGAACATTTAGTGAAAGGGCAGTGACTAAGTGTGGCAGGTTTTTTCAAATAAAATCCTCTTTGTGGGGGTGCCTGGGTGGCTCAGTCCATTGATATCTGGCTCCTAGTTTTGGCTTATCTCATGATTCATGGGATTGAGCCCTGTGTTGGGTTCTGAGCTGACAGCATGGAGCCTGCTTAGGATTCTCTTTCCCTCTCTCTGCCTCCCCGCGCCCCCCCACCCCCGGGCCGTCAAAATAAACAAAACATTTTTTAAAAAATCCTCTTTGTAAATGGCCTTAGTTGGAGGAAAGAGGTAGGGAAAGCTATTTTCACAAGTAACTAGCTTCTGGAAAAAATTATTTTAATGGAAAACTTGGATAACTCATAATATAGCTTTTAGGTTTATTTTCTGTCTACAGACTTTCATAATTTTAAATCTGCAAAGGTGAAGTTAGAGATCTGTGCTACTTTAAATACATTGGGTTTACCAGACTTTTAATGTAGTTTTAATCATTGTTTTTGTTGAAGGGAGTCGAATCCAGAAATCCAGGATTTCATGAAGCAGAAGGGCTTTGGCAAAGACTTTAGAATACTAGAATCTTTCTATCTTCAAAAGTAAGTTACTTCTAAGCCTTTCCCTATTTTTATTTCACCTGTGATTTTTGTAAAAGTTTTAAGCTAGTTAGTATTGCCTTTCTATTTTCTCTTCACCCCTTGTCAAAGTGTAGATACTGTATATACCTTGTTGGACAAAGTGAAAAATCAAGAAAGAAGCAATATCCACTGCTTTCTTTAAATCAACGATCTGATGACTAAGGCTTTTACATTATTTCAACGTCAGTCATCTGTTCAAAGAATTCAGTTTCAAAGCCCTGGTTTGCCCACGAAATCTAATCCCTTTGGTCAACTGTAGGAGGGTTCTTTTACTTTTTATCTGCGATGTGAGGTATGATAGCAGAGCCACATGTATGGCTGTTTATATTTAAAGTGAAGAAAATTTAAACGGGCAGACAGTAAACATTTTAGGCTTCATGGGCCCTATGGTTGCACAGTATTCTTGTTTTAAAACAGTATTTACAAGTGTAAAAACCATTCTTAGCTTAGGAGCCATTCAAAAACAGCCTGTGGGCTGTAGTTTGCCAACTCTTATATTAAACAAGCCCAGATTCCTGCAGAATGCCTGGCATTGTCTAAAGACCAGCAAATATTTGTAAATGGTCAGCAATTTTATAGTTTAAGACACTCACGAAGTGACCAGAGATGACAATTTGTACACTACCCTATGAGCCGCTATGTCTTCCCCACTTGGAGATGTACTTAGCACATTCATTCAGCAGATGACTTTTAAACCCCTCTGCTGTGTGATGTCCCGAGCCATGTGTTGGAAAGAAGGAACCACACTGGGTCGCCATCCACCTTGAGCAGGTTCTGCTATAAAGCCGAAAGGCACCTCTCAACATGGTAGTCCTTCATAGAAACCAGGCAGGCTTTAAATATATATCAGCTTGTGATCTGAAATAATTTTTCCTCCCAATGGTAGGCTTTTAGATATTGTTTCAACTATAAAGAAGCGATCCATAGTCTGGCAAGAGGTTTTTGATGATCACGTGAAGGTGAGAAGTATGAAGTCTGCATGTGATTCTGGTAATATGAGAGACTATTTTAACATCTTCGAAGGAAAATTACCTTACCTTTTAGTTTAAACTTTTATTAGGCAATAGCTGTAGACCAAGACTAGTGCCTCCTTTTCATCTCTCCACCATCATCCTCCCACCATTTCATTATTTGTCACAAACGGAAGTACAGGCAGTTTGGGGTTTTTTTGGTTTGTTTGTTTTTTACAAGGGCAGAATATGGGGTGCCTGAGTGGCACAGGTGGTTGATCATCCAAGTCTTGATTTTGGCCCAGGTCATGCTCTCATGATTCATTGAGACTGAGCCCCATGTTGGGTAAAGATGAAAAATGAAAACAAGGGTAGAACAAACAAAAACAGATGAATCTTTATTGCTATGAAGGTAGTTTTAAGTAATACTGTCAATATATACTTTCTATTTTCCTTTGGGTAACGGAGAATTTCAAATCCAGCTACTACCATTACCTTTCCAGAAGGCTTACACAGTTCCAAAGTAAGAATAATGGTAGTGTGGGACAAAGGGGAGTAAAGCCTTAGTGGGTTATACCTATAAAGGGTCATATATAGGCAGAAGTTAAATATCCAACCTTAAGGTTGATGAAACTTTTTTTTTGGTGAGAATCCTAAGCTAAGCTGGCTACGCACAGTCAGCACAGAGCCTGACTTGGGGCTCGAACTCACAAAGCCACAAGATAACCTGAGCCAAAACCAAGAGTTGGACCCTTAACCAACTGAGCCACCCAGGTGCCCCAAGGTTTTTGACACATCTAATTTTAAGGCCCTATAAGTAGGGCCATAAGAAGCTTAGAAAGTTATTTTAATTTCATCTGTAATTGTTGGCCCTAATCAATACATACTGCAACTTTAATAGCTTCTGCCAGGCACAGTTGTTCAAGTATGGAAAAATCAAGCATATCGTGAGGAACTACGTGGAGTCACAGCAGCTGGCTTCCCTGTGATCCTTTCTGCTCCTTGGTACTTAGATTGGATTAGTTATGGACAAGACTGGAGAAATTACTATAACGTAGACCCTCTTAATTTTGATGGTGAGTAAAGTACCTATCAATCATTACTTTGGTCAGTTCATCCAAATATTACCTACTCACTATCCTCACATTTATGTTTGATCCTGGATATTGTTTACTTGAAAAGGAAAAAAAGGGCCCCTAATACATTAAAAGTTGTGAAAGAAACCATATGCTTCTCTGAGTAAAAGAACTTCAAAAGTAGGTTTTTTTACGTTTGATCTCCGAGTGTTAAGGAAGGCTGTGCTCTAGTTTCCTGTATTTCAGGCTGTGCAGTCTTCAGGTCCTGAGATGTTAGGTATTCTTAGGGAAGGGGGTGGTAGGAGGAATAGAGGGGTGGAGATTTAGGCTCTCAGACCCCCTTCCTTATCCCATTTATAAAATTTCCTTCAAGAAAAAGGTAGTATTAAAAAAAGTTTTGAATCTGTATGTAGGTCTACTAGGAGCTGACAATAAAGTAACTTCAATTGGGTACTTAGTCTTTTTTTTTTTTTTTTTTTTACTACCACGGGGTAGATATTGAAGGCAGAAGTTGAGCAGTTGTCACTAGTATTCCAGCTTGCGTTCCCTGGCACACTATTCATAAGCAACCAAGGGAAAAATGGTTCTTGAACCCAAGTAAGTTTGCACAAAACCAAAATAAATGGTGTGCTAGTATTGAAGATACCAGTTTATAGACATATGCTAACAAGCACTGTGGGAATAAAGTTTCCTACCTCTTTGTGTGCCCAAGCCATGAACTGACCAGGGGACCAAAATGTTGCCCTATATAAACGTGGTGTGACAAACCAGTTAGTGCCTGTCAAAGCTTGGAGCTGCAACTCATTCAATGATTTCAATGCAGGTTCTCAAGAACAGAAAAAACTCGTCATTGGTGGAGAAGCTTGTCTGTGGGGAGAATATGTGGATGCAACTAACCTCACTCCAAGATTATGGTATGGAATTTAAAGTGCCTTATTTTTCCTTCTCTACCTAAGTAGGGAAGCATTAGACATCGCAGAGAACATAAATTTAAACTGCTTTGCTGGACATGTGGTTTAACTTCCAGGCCTCGGGCAAGTGCCATTGGTGAAAGACTCTGGAGTCCGGCAGACATCAGAGGTATAGAGAGTGCCTACAACAGACTGACAGTTCACCGCTGTAGGATGGTCAGGTACGGTGTTTTCAAAGTTAGGATGCTACCACAGCCAGGGTGATTTTGTTTTCTAGAATAGAACCTAACAAATAGTGATTTAATTAGGAAGTGGGAATTGATTTTTGTATGAAACAGAATTGTGCCCATAAGGAGAAAAGACTATTTGAACTTTTTTAAGGGGTGCCGGGGTGGCTCAGTTGGTTATGACCTGAGGTGAAGTCAGATGCTTAGTCTCATAATTTGTGAGTTCAAGCACCAAGCCAGCTTCAGGTCCTCCAGCTCCCTCAACTAATGTTGACACTCACTCAACATTAAAGAACTTGGGATGTGAGATGCTCTGTATCAATCTAACACCTCTCTAATTCACACTTTGTTCTGTAGACGGGGAATAGCTGCAGAACCGCTTTTTACTGGATATTGTAACCAGGAGTACAAAACATAAAAATGAGCCTAAACAAGGAAGAAAATAGGAGAGGACAAAGCCACAATCAATCAACTTGATTTTGAAATCATGGAAATTAAGATTTGGTATACCATTTTAAATAAAATACGTATCTTTTTAAAAATGGGACCTCTGTCTGACTGATTACATATATAATGAACATGTATATTAACATGTAGAAGACTCATTTTATGAAGTAGAATGGGCAGCTCCAGTACCAGTGTCAGTTGAAAAGCAATAAAAATTTTACTCTTACTGAAAAAGCAGTAGGTAGGGGCTCTGGAGTTTTCAAAGCACTTGGGTCAAGCCACTTCGCCGGCTGAGCAGTATAGTTTGGTCTTGAGGATTCATGGCTTGATAATTAGATAGTTCTAAGGCAAATGTAGCTGAGCCCGATGTTAGTGTTCGAAGCACAGTTGAATAACCCTAATCAATCAAAATAATTTAAGTTAGTAATTTAAGTTAGTTATCACATTTAAGCCTCCATTTTTATCAGTAAGGTGATAATGAGACTCACATGACTTACCATTGTAACCATTTTGTCAGGAAATACTGGACAGAAATAATGTGGAGAGCAGGTTAAGTGACTAGTGTAAGTATATATAAGATGTATTCCCCAGTGTCAGCATTTGGGAAGAGAAGTGTGGAGAATGGAAATGACCCCACCAACTTGTGGTAATCCCCTAGATTTCCATAACAGTTTAAATCCAGACACTTTAACAGGACAAACTTACACTGCATCCTCTAAATCGAAGTCCTGATTGTCTATACTTTCGTTCAGCATAAATATCCCCAGTATTCTTTTTAGTCACTAAGTACCTACCATAATTTCTGCTAGAGGAACAAATCCAATAATAATTTTATTTTCCTGACGAGTCTGGATTTCCTGAATGGTCCCTCTTCTTTGTGCCAGGTCTGCCAGGACAGGGCTGAGGTAATCTCTATTGACTGCAACCTCGAGATTCATCAGGGGCTCTAAAATTTGCTTATCAGCCTTCTTCAGAGCCTAAAGAAATTCAAGAATGTTAACCTCCCTTCTTTAATTGGAAATCAAATTTCTGTTAAAAAAGACTGATAAAAACTTACATATAAATTCTGCCCATCCTTGTAAGCTCAGAGCTCTTTTTATAAGCAATCAGGTACATGGCAAGGGATTGCTTAGTAAAGCTTAATTATACACAGCACCTATGAACACGTAGCCAGAGTGGAAAAAAATGGTTTCCCCCCTTTCAAAGATTTAATGCTTCATATTTGTTGAAACCATGTGTTTAGTTCCTGATGCCTATTACAGTCCGTAACGGGACTGATCCAGAAATGTACTACAAGCACATTCTTAACAAAAGGCAAGACGAAGAAGCACATAAGTAACATGGAAACTGAAGAAAAGCCAATAGAGCACATAGGGCAAGTAGTGGAAGAAAAGCGGAGAAGTAGCAATATAAAGAAAATGTTCTGGGGTCCCAGTCAGTCTCTGTCAGAGTATCACTACGTCAGACAAAATGGTAAATGGGTTTTGGACGGCATATGTAAGTACCGGTGGGTTTGATTTAAAAAGCTATCCTACCGGGCTGCCTGGCGGCTCAGGCAGCTAAGCACCTGGCTCTTGCTTTTGACTCAGGTCACTATCTCATGGTTGGTGGGGTCAGGGCTGTCTTGTCAGTGCAGAGCCTGCTTGGGATTCTCTCTCAAAAACAAACTTTAAAAAGCTATCGGACTGCTGCAGCCTGCCAGAATTCAACTGTTCTGTTAATGAAAGTTTCTTCTATAGTCTAAGCCTCTGATTATTAGGTGTGATGTAATAAACTGAGACTTAGCAATGGAAACTACGTAGGAGAGGGCTCTGGAATGTGTCCTCACCTTTACCTAGGTGCAGCTGACCGCTCTGTTCCCTGCTCCACCACCACTCAGTGATTCTCGTTCTTACTTAAGGCCGCGCAGGGGACATCAACACTGCCTCTATCATTAAGTAAGGGTTTGTCCCCCTCCGCTCCTGCCCCTTACCCACACAACCGTGAAAAATGGCCAGACTAGTAAAACCAAGAGTATATGCCCATTATCGAAATTTCAAAACATAGAGCACACCTCTCTCTTTGCAATTCTTATCAAGAGCTTTGTACCACTTCACATAATGCCTTTTGGAACGGAAGAAGAGGGGGAGAAGGTAAAAATGAAAACACTACAAGCAAGGAAAGAACTGAATGCTGTCACTCCTGTATCTGTCCTTAGTTCCATTCATGCACATCTCTGTAGCCTCCACAAAATCTTCATACTCCACACAGACTCTAGTCTCCACGTGCTAAAGCCTTGTACCCCTGCACTGGCCTGCTCTGCGACGGGGTCTAAATACCCCACAGCAATCCAAGATAAGCTCATCATTTCCTTTTGCAAACATTCTTGTGTGCTCTTCCTATTTCAGTTGAGGACAGCAAAATCTTCAGTTCACCTGGACATGCATCTCTGGCTTCCATTTTCCCAAGGAGCTTTAAGATTTCCATTCCCACTGCCAATATCCTAATTCAGCCCTAGTCCATTCCCTGTCCCAGAAGAGCTGTTGCCTACTTCTAGTTCCTCCTGTACTCCAGGGATTATAATGCCCTCCTCAAAAACTTTAAATTTTTCACCACTGTTCTCAAAACAAACCTCATACTCCTCAGGGTAGTTTTTAAAGGTTTCTCTACAGTCTGATCCCAGTTTTTCAACACTGTTTTTCACTACTACTCTGCCGCATCTGAGAGTACAGCTCAAGGGACTCTTCAGTCGCCACCTGTCTGGAATGCCTAACCATGTCCAACTACCAAAATTCACGACTCAGAAATTCCTTCCAATAATACTGATTCCCCACTTCTCCATTTTTATGGCTCCCAGTCTGCTCTAGTATTCTGGCTATTTGGCCCCATTTAATTACCTTACCAGATCATAAGCTCCTTTAGGGGAAGATAAACATCTATACCCCATTTATGTCCATCTCAGTGCACAGTGCACTGTAAGCTCTGCAAAGACTCAATAAATACAGGAGGCATCATTTACTTCTAATCAGCAGAGAAGGAGATTCCCCACTAGATGAAGCTTAATAAGGGCTGGAGTACTTCTGTTAGAAGTATTTCATTTAATGTATTAAAACTGAAGATTAAATGTAAGCCCCATGAAGTTAGTTTTTGTTCTCTAATACAATCTTAATAAACAGACTAACCAATTCACAAATACTTAGAGATTTTGTTTTTACAAGGCATATTAAGATTTTGAAGGACTGGCCAATATAATGGGGCTTGGGGTTAATTTAGAAACATTACATCATCACTTGTCTGCCTTTTGGCTAAGATCAAGTGTAGAACCATGACCTCATCTTTCAGGTTACTGTTACTTACCAAAACCAATTTCAGGAGAAACTTAAAAATTACTGGAAATGTTCTCAACATTTCAATCATGAATTCTTTATAAGTAATACTTCTAACTATATATGCACTTAGGCAAACTATTTAAAATTTTTTTTTTTACTATTTATTTTTGAGAGAGAGAGAGACAGAGCATGAGCAGGGGAGGGCAGACAGAGAGGGAGATACAGAATCTGAAGCAGGCTCCAGGCTCAGAGCTGTCAGCACAGAGCCTGATACAGGGCTCGAACCCACAAAGCATGAAATCATGACCTGATGGTGTTTGTGACTGAAGTCAAATGTTTAACCAACTGAGCCACCCAGGTGCCCCGGGAAACAATATTTAAATAATACTTTTTGAACGTATACATTTTTTTAAAATGAAAATTAAGTGAAATCATATGAAAGGGCCATTAAGTTTCACCTTCTTAAGTCAGGGACTTAGGGTATTCACATTAACTTTATAATTCTAGATGTGATTAAGACCATAGAAATCAAGTTTTAGACACAGTCCAAAATTTCATAAAATGGTTTCTAAAAGCAAGTGTTTTAATGCAAATCAGTCACCTACAAAACTGTAATATTCCCACGCTGACAGGAACGCATGGAATCAGCATTTAGCACACCAGGATCCTGGGAGTTAGTTCGGTTCTGAGAGGTTACTGAGGCAAGACACTCAGGGAAATAGTGGGAGGTAACCAGGCCAAGACTAGTTGGCTTGATGCTTTGATAAGGTTAGGTGCTTATCCTGAACCTGTTTATCAGTGAGTTTTACCCCTGATTTTTTTTTTCTTTTTAAGAGAGAGAGAGACAGAGTGCATAAGCAGGTGAAGTTCAGACAGAGAGAGAGAGAGAGAGAGAGAGAATCTTAAGCGGCAGGTTCCATGTTCAGTCACTAGCCCAAGGCGGGGCTTAATCTCATGACCCTGAGATCATGACCTGAGCTGAAATCAAGAGCAGGACCATCATCTGACTGAGCCGACCAGGTTCCCTGTAACTTCCCTGATTTCAATGATCCCTGATTAACGTACTCTTATTCAAGTAAACGTAAACACAAAATTGGAACTAATATTACATCTTCCATGTCCTTGATAGTCCATCTTGGGCCAAAATGTCCCCTAATTAAACTACGAAGCTCACCTCTAACAGCTGTAAGTCTGGGATAGGGAAACCAGAAATGCCAGTTAAGGAAACCTGCCTCTGCCAAAATCAGAGAACATTTCCTGGTAATCTGTATTAAGCAGTAATTTCCGAGGTCCTCTTTCAGATATAACCCTGGTGATTAAGAAAGCAAAGATTCTCCAAGGTAAAAACTCTTGTTGACTCTAAGGCACAGAAGGCAACAATACAGGCTTGAGGCACCGCAAAGCACAGGTGTCTGTGCAGCAAAGGGCCACTGCTGTCAGAAGAGTCACCCGTAAGACAGAAAGGAGAACAAAGGATAGTTCTCTACCTTTTGTACGCATCTTGAGACACAGGCAGAAATCATAGTTGTGGAGGTGCCAGGATGAATTGTCAGTGAATGTACAGTAACTGCCACATCTTGAATTGGGGATCCAAGCAGTGGTCCTAGGAAAGGGGAAAAACCTTTAGGTTAGAACTCGGAATGCACTGAGGAGTAAAGACAGGAGTAAATGAACTTCTCATTTCCAGTTCATGTAGGCAGCTTAGAAGCCATTACTCTTGGGGCGCCTGGGTGGCTCAGTCAGTTAAGCATCTGACTTTGGCTCAGCTCACGATCTCGCGGTTCATGGGTTCGAGCCCCGCGTCGGGCTTTGTACTCACAGCCAGCTCAGAGCCTGGAGCCTGTTTCAGATTCTGTGTCTCCCTCTCTCTCAGCCTCCCCTGCTCACACTGCCTCTCTTTCTCTCTCAGAAATATATAAAACATTTTTAAAAAATTAAAAAAAAAAAAAAAAAAGAAGCCATCACTCTCTCCTAGCAAGTAAAAACAAAACAGGCTGAAAAATAAGCAACCCCTCCCAGAGCCACAAGAGAGAAGACAAAGGACAAACCACTGCCCCCAAAACTGGAGAGACAGGTGGACACAGGAAGTCACAGCTTCCTGAAGCAGAGGCTCACTATCCCAGGAACCGGTGCCAGGGCAGGAAAACCTCAACTACAGATAAGTCTGGGAGTTAAAAATTTCAGGGGGACCCAGTGAGAAATCATAAGGGGGCCCCCACAATTTTGTGAGATTCACTTCCTAGAGCTCCAGCATGTTCTGACACTAAGTATCAGAGAAAAATCTCCTTAAGCTTCTGACAGAGAGGAAAAGAAACCATTCTCAAATACTCCAGAGCACACTACACTGTTCTTACAAAGGCCTGCTGTCAGGGGAAACTAGTTAACTAGAGCCTAACGAGCAGGGGCATTAGCAGGACCTGACAGACTTGGGTGAAATACCAAACTCCAGGCCACCCTAGCCATCCTGTCCAGCCTGAGGCTAGTGAAAAAAAACTAAAAACACACTTGTGTGGTTCCCAGTTCAGAGGTATGAACTCACTATAAGACTGAGTCCTAATCCCAAGGTTGGAGAATGCTTCCCCTTTCCCCCACACGTGACCTCCACATGACTAAAGACCATGTTTACAGCAGTTCCTTTCACCCAATACATCATGTTTGGCTATCAGGAAAAACTCACAAGGCATATTAAAAAAGCAAAAGTACAATATGAATAGAGAACAAGCATCAGAACCAGACACGGTAAGAATGTTGGAATGATCATATCACACGACTGATATACTATAAAGACTGATCAAGTACACCACATGCAAGAACAGACAGAAGTCCTAAGAAAGAACCAAAAAGAAATGCTTGAAATAAAAAATAAAGGGCTTACAAGTAGACTGGACACAGCTGAATAAAGTGTGTCTGAGTTAGAATTGTATTCACAGAAACCTCCAAAACTGAAGAGCAAAGTGAAGATGGGGCTGGGGGGGGGGGGGGGGGGGGGGNAAAAAAAAAAAAAAAAACAGCCCACAAGAGTATCCAAGGACCATGGGACAATGGAAAAGGGGGTAACATACACATAGTGGGAAGAATAGTGAGAAAACATTACCCAAGTTAGAAATAATGTGTAATATTAGGAGTTACTAAGTGGTTGACTGAGATACTAAGCTTACTCTTATTTGAGTACCTTACCTTGGAGGCACGCACTGTAAATTCCATTTTCAGTGGCCTCTTGGGAAGCCTTTGGAAGGTCTTCACTAACACTTCCAGCATACTCGATAACTGGGGTAACCGAAGCTGTTTCAGTTGGTTTTACTTCCAGTTCTACAGTCACAAGATGCCGTTTGTCTCCTAATGTTCTATCTAAGGTATCTGTAAACAAATTGAATATAGTACCGTAGAGATTTGTTCCAGAAAGGTATCAAGGTAACACAAGTAGCATAATGACAGTCAACAAGTTCAAAATCTCACAGAAGATACAGCGGGAGAAAATATTACAGTGGTACTAAATACAGTATAAAGATGTGGGAGTAAAAAGTCCTATCAAGAGAGCATGTGCTTCTGTGTTTATCAATGTGAAAAACCAGTTCTAAATCACTTGATAACTGTGCGGTGTTAAGATGTGCTATGGCAGATGACCCCACAAGGTTTGACATGCAGGTTACACATTTACATTTTTTGAAATCTTACACGAATGAAATTCGTTTAATTATAAAATTTTTACTTAACAGTAAAACAGAGTACAAAGGGTTATCTAATGAAAATTAAAAAGCTTATTTTAACACTACCAACCGACAAACTACTAAATTTCTTATTCTAGTAACGTTTTATGCATTTATGATTTTTTCTCAAAACACCAATGACTTTAAGATTGAAAACGGTATCTCTCATTTGCTAACAACCAACAGCTGTCACCAATCTCCACCTTTCCTGAAACAAAACTATGCTGTATTTATGTTAGTGACCAGGTAAAAAAGCAATGCATCACCTAAATTAAAACTAAGAATTACAGTCTACAATTCCTCTTTATAATTCTATGCATAAGCTAAAAATAAAGTAAGCATTTATGAAACCTAAAACTACTCAGAATAAACCATTACCAATAGTAACCTACAAGCCTTCTGAAGCAATCACTATCCTGATATAATCAGCCATTCCTATGATTTTTCCTTAATTATGTATTCTGCAACTTGCTTCTTTTTCTTCATATCTGTGGATTCTCTGGGCTAATGCATATTGATGTAATTCATTCTTTTTCACAGCTGTACAATATTCTATTGTATGAACACAGTATAATTTATAAACACTCTGTCCATAAGTATTCGGGCTGTTTTTTTCTATTTACAAGTTATTATTATTATATTATGCTATTATGAACATTCTTATATCCATCCCTCAGTGCACATGTATAAGAGTTTCTCTAGGGCATGTTACACGTAGGCACAGTGCTGAGTAGTAAGGTCTGCACACAGTCGACTTCACAAGGAAGCTGCCAAATTGTTTTCATAGTGCTTACATAATCTACACTCCCACCCGAAGTTTTTAGGAGTTTCCATTGCTCCACATCTCCATCAACACTTGGCACTGTCTGATTTAATTCCTGCCAATTTTGTTGGTGTAAAATAATTTCTCATACTTTTAACTTGCATGACCCTAATCATTACGGATATGAAGAATCTTTCAATATGTTCATCAGCCTTCTGGCTATCCTTTTTGTGGAATATCTCTACACGAAGGGCTTTTTCTACCCATGACCACCAGTGAAAAGCACATTTGTTTGATGAAGGCTCATCACTTGTTTGATATATTGAGTGGTATATTTGATATATTGAGGGCTTGGGTTTAAAACAAAACAGAACGAGATCCAAAAAGACACAAAAACACACACATAAAACCTATGCCGACTGACAGAAGACACTAGTGACTATGAACCTTGCTTTATGCAACTACACTGACAGATTTGGGAAAGAGATCCTGGAGGGAGGGAGGGAGGAAGGGAGGGGAAGAGAGAGAGAGAGAGAGAGAGAGAAACAAAAACAGCACATTCTAAAAGTTCTATTTTACCTGTGGCACAAACTGCATTTAGGATGGTCTCTCGGTATGCCACCTGGAGAGGCCCTAGATAGGTTTCCAATCCATACTCTCTCTTGATTCGGTCATGAATAATCTCAATATGTAACTCCCCCATACCACATAGGACAGTCTGGGTAAAAGAGGAAGAAAATAAAACCAAGATATAAAAAAAATTAGATTTATCACAAAATACTATATAAAAGCATTCAATCAATATCTGTTACTTTTCATTAATTACAAACTGAGTTTCTCTGCAATTTTTTTTGGTTTTTCCTCAAAACATTTTTGTTTTTTCTGAGTGGAATAATAAATTGATTAAAAGTAAATTTCTAAGGGCACCTGGGTGGCTCAGTCAGTTGAGTGTCTGACTTCTGCTCAGGTCATGATCTCATGGTTCGTGGGTTGGAGCCCTGTGTCGGGCTCTATGCTGACAGCTAGCCCAGAGCCTGGAGCCTGTCTTCAGATTCTGTGTCTCCCTCTCTCTCTGATCCTCCCCTGCTCTCTCTCTCTCTCTCTCTAAGAAATAAATAAAACATATAAAAAAAGTTTAATTAGGCAAGTAGCATCTAGCTAGGACTATATTCCCAACCATATAGCTTTGCTCTGGTCAACAGAACATGAGTGTAACAGATGTTGGCAACTTCTGGGTTATTATCTTTAAAGAAAGGATAAAACCCTTCTCTCAATGAAGATGTGGGCAACTGTCTTAAAACGTGGGTGATGGCAACATCTTGTTAATTGGGGGGTGAAGAGAATAACCTTTTCCCCAAACATTTCCACCCACATTGGTATTTCCCAATTGGTATTGGTATTTCCCTGGGTACCTTACAGTACTGTAACTAGTTAAATCCTTCACATTAGCTTGGACCTTTATTTGACGAAGAAATTAACTTTTATCTAATTTGATCTTTCATTGTTATTTAGGGCCCTTGTTAGAACAAGCCAAATTTTTATGAAAACCACCAATCAAGACATGCTTTAAAACAGTATTTTTCTACAACACTATTCCTTAAGGTCTTTGTGTATAAAAAAGCATACAGTGCAAGGAATCCATATTTGCTCAGTCTTATTCATATGCCATCTACGTAGTAAAGAATTAACTGTCTCTAAAAAGAGAGATGGCCCTTACTCTCACCTACTGGTAGGTTATCGCTAGGCCAGGATGCCGCCTGATGGAAGCGTCTTTACTGGTCTGGGGGCTTTTGTCCACCAGACTGTGTTAACAATGCGATTTATGATGAGGGCTTTGGAATAGCCCTACCTGTTCCAACCTGGAAAGTCAAGGTAGTAGCCTCAACTTAGAGGAGGTACTGGAAACCAGAGGTCAACCACATGAGCAGTATGTCAAGCCTTAATAAAAACTCGGGACAGGGCTTGGGTGAGCCTCCCTGACTGGCAAAACCCTTTACAAAAAGGGTTAATACATCCCTGAAGATGAAGGAAGGAAGGTATGCATTTAGAATTCTCCCAGATTTTGCCCTTTTTGTTTCTTCCTTTGGTTGGTTCTAGATTTATCCTTCCGCTGTAACAGAACTATACTTATAAGGAACACAAAAAAGGATTATTTTGTTCCAATTGCTGTACTTTCGTATAAAGTTAAAGAAATGAATTACTTGGAAAAAACAAGTTGTAGAATAATACTAAAAGAATGACTTTTTATATATCTGTATGAATCTATGGAAAAATACACTGTGGTTTATAACATAGCATAGCACAAGACACTTGGTAAAGCATGAAAGGCTATTCACATTTTCACAGTGGTTTACCCGTGTAAATAGGATGGAGAAAAGGGATACCTTAATTTTGTACTCTGAACACTTGTGTTATTTGCTATTTTTTAAAAAATATGTATTGGCATTTTTAATCAGCTTAATGATAACCCACAACCCTTGGACTAATTGTATTGGCATTTTTAAATGAAAGTTTTCCAAAGTTAAAAAAAAAATTTAAGTGCTTGTTGTTGTATTAAACTAAATTACTATCTCATTTAGCCGGCTTTTGGGAAATAAAATACTCTGTAGTTTTCTGATTAACTAAATCAGTTTATCCTTAAATTTATAATCTTTTAAGAGAACTTGTTCTAAAATCTCACATAAACTTTACCCTGACTTCCTAAAAAGACACAATGAACATGTGTTCTTCCACTGTAATGTATACACAAACTTCTTACCACCCCCTTGAGAGCTCTACTTCCTCCCAGTGTCAGCCTTTCAGCCATCACTTCTCCCCCACCTCATGCGTTAGTGGCAATAAAAGCACCTTTGCATCCTCCGCTTAGTACCCTGTGTCTACAAGCCTTAGTAACATAAGAAGCTCAAGGCTTTGTCTTGGGGTTGAATTTTATGTCAAAGTTTCACAAAAGGCTGTCTTCTGGAAAGTTGAAATGACAGTGTGGTTTATATGTGCTCACTTTGGCAGCCCATATACTACATTTAGCATGGCCCCTGGGTGAGGATGACCTGAAATCTGCAAAGTGTTCTGTATTTATAAAAAAAAAAAAAAGAATGGTTTATAGAAGCAAGGCATAATTAATTATACTGAGGAACTAAGGACATTTTATCTAGTTTGACAGTCAACATGATAACCAGAAATTCATATTATTAGAGAACCAAATGAAAAGGTTTTATCTTTCAGGGGCATAGACCAATCTGTTTCAGATACATGCATTTAAATACAAAAACACATACACACACAAATGCTATGATTGCAAGATTTCTGGAAGTGAAATTGTAATGAAACGTGAACCTGTCCAGAATCAGGATCGAGCTTCACTTTCAAACTGGGATCTTCACGTTGAAGGCATTTCAATGCATAATCCAAATCTAGGGGATAAACAGTAATGGTTATCTTTACATTTCATCCTTTAGATAATGTAACATATGTTCTAGTGGGGGAAAAAATGAGCAAGCAAGCAAACAAAGTATGAAAAAGAACGTTTCAAATAACATCAATGCTTTGTAGAGAATAAAAGAAGATGAGAAGATACTGATGGGAAGTTATTTGAGATTGAATGATCTGGAAGGGCCTCTCCAAGGTAAGTTAGATCAAGACACAAATAAAGAATGGCCATAGATGCAAAATCCTGAAGAAAAAGAATACCAGATAGAGAAAATGGCCGTGCAGAAATGGCTTACTATTAGACAAATAACAAGACGGCCATAGTAGCTGGCTATTAGCAGGTAATCACATCACATAAGGTCTTGTAGGCCAGGGTGCAGAATTTGGATTTGAACTGGGAAGCCACTGATGGGTGGCTTCAGTGGGACAGTAACATCACCTGACTGTGTTTCACAAAGATCTAGGAGCTGGCGAAAAAGCAAAATGCCTTCAGACACAGAAGCAATGAGAAACTAGTAAAAGGAAACTAAATTACACCATGAATAGAGATGCTAATGTGATCACTCTATGATGAATTATCACACCCAAAGAGGAAACAAGAATATATTATCTGCAATAAATATGGCCTCTAAAATCAAGTGATACTTTAATACAATCAGTTAACTGTTGAGTGTATTCTCCCCCTCTACAAAAGGTGTTCGAAGTTTCTCAGACATGAAATGAGGCTGAAGAAACGAGCTGATACACCAAAACTATTTGTACCTGGCTGCTTAGCCAACGAAGGGGGTTCTATGGTACAGAAGAAAACAGGTTCTGGAATCTCCACCCCGGCCAGTAAAAGCCTCTTGGCTTCATTGTTCTGTCTATGCTTTTTTCCTCCTCCTGTTTCGGCGCGACGAGCTGCAGCTAACGCGCTGGACTTGGATGAGGCGATGGTGTCTCCAGTGGCAGTCTGTAAGCAAACATGGCACCTTGAAACAAGACTGGCTCAGTGAGCACTCAGCTTCCGCCAAGAGTCACGAGATACCAAAACTTCCAATGTGATACTTTCATCAGAACTTAAGACAGACAAATTCATAAAGCTCACTGCAATTTTGTGTACGTAAAGCTAATTTAACTTGTGTAAGAATTCTAAAATACTGCTATAATAAATCTAACAATAAAACACATACACATTCTCTCTCTCTCTCTCTCTCTCTCTCTCACACACACACACACACACACACACACACACACACTACACATCCAAATTCATTCGGTAAAACAAATGTACCTTCCCAAATTTTCAATCATGTGAAAACAGGTTTTAGTAGAAGTTCATTATAGAGTTTTACCACCAGGAAAAATGTCTCTGTTTTACAGAAAATCCTCTACTAACTAAAATAAGCAATTAACCAGATTTCTCTAGACCATGCAGAACTGATAGCATCCTTATATACTCATTTTGTAAAACTGTCATTTCACTTTTAAACTTTAATTTTACAACATTCTGTGCCAGTTTCCTTCTCTGTAAAGTTATTCCTACTGAAGCAATAGTAGCAAATATGTACATGGAGTTCCTGCCTTTGGGTGGACAGAGGACATTTGAAGGCTAGAAGTCCAATATGTGTACTGTAGAAATTTGATACTAAAGGATCTTGAATCTTGCAATTAACCATAAGGAGGTTAAAAAATGTTCAAAGTAACCATGGCTATCCTAAATGCCAAATATACCAAAGTTTAATGAGAAAATGTATCCAATTTAATCCATATATAAGTGAAATGTCCTTACCTTTAACCTACCAAAAACATACACAACGTCAACTATTTTCATCCATTCATCTGACAAGTCACAGACTGCCTATCATGTGTGATGCACTGATCGAGAGACTAAGGACAGAGAATGAAGGAAACCCAAATCCTTTTCCTCATGGAGCCTCCATTGGCAATTTATCTTCAGTTATTACCTGGATCTATTACAAGGTTAGATTAAATTGTCAGCAATGATCAAGAAAAATACCCACTGGGAATAACAAAATATTTATGAAACTTAAAACACAGGTATGTCTATAAATAGTGTACTTTTAGTTGGATTTGAATTTTACATGAATATAATCCACACTGTTTATAGACTTCTATAATTTTCTTTCTTCCTATTCTGAGATTCAATCATGTTGATGAATATGCTACAATATTCATTATCCCACTATCAATAGCTATCTGGATTGTTTGTAGGTTTTTGTTACTGCAAAATACCTGGTTTTTAAATTAAACATTTAAGCTAGTAGTTCCTAGAGAAACCATCTGGCCGCTTACGTGTTTAAGGCCAACAGTCAAAGCAATGTTACCAGCAGTCAGGGAAGGGATTTCTATATGTTGGTCAGCAAATGGCAAAAGAAGACGACTTATTCTTTCCCTGTAAAAAACATGATTTATTTTCAGTAAAAGAATTTTTAAAGCAATGACTGCAATTTTAGAAAATAACCTAAGCTTCTGGAGCGCCTGCGGGGCTCAGCTGGTTAAGCATTAAACTCTTGACTTTGGCTCAGGTCATGATTTCACTGTTCATGAGTTCAAGCCCTGCATCAGGCTCTGTATGTGTGCAGCATGCTTAGGATTTTCTCTCCCTCTCTCTGCCCCTCCCCCACTTACTCTCACTCACTCTCAAATAAACAAACATTAAAAAGAAAAAAAGGGAACAGAACCTATAAGCTGTACTTACGTGCAGTCTCCATTAATATTATAGATGGCCAACTGGGGTTTTATCATGCCTGAGTAAATGCGCATAAACACCAGTGGTCCTCGCTGCTTGTCATGAAGAACTTTAAATGCCAGTGCACATAAGTCACCCTTATACCATGGCCTACAAAATTGAGACATTCCAGAAAGGCCTTTAAAATACACTTCCCAAAAAATAAATAAATAAATAAATAAATAAATAAATAAATAAAATACACTTCCCATATCTATGCAGATCAAATCAGAATCATTACGCCAACTTAATGTCTTCCCTCATGTATTCTAGTTTAGCTATTCAGGCTGATTAAATAATGTCAGTACTAACTACCTCTCTTCCATGAAACTAAATTATTTAATGGAGATGTTGCCATTAACTGCTCACAATTAAAAATAATGGATTCTCTCCCAAATATTACTTCTACTCACAAATAATTCCAATGCCTAGAGTTCAATCTTCAAAAAATACACCTACAAACATCATGCCACTTCTCACAAAAGCCTGCAGAGGGTAAATGTACAGGTGCTTTCCAACTACTACTTTCATTCTGTCCTCCCACTTTCTCTCTAGCTGCATAACCACAGAAATCTACAATATAAACATCAACTTGTTTACACAGACAACATTCTTGCAGATTGACGTCCTTAACTGGTGTGCACTGATATGTTTCAGAAAGCCTGAATCCCTCTAGAATTGCCAAATTTTGTACATAGGTACATTTTTCTGAGGAAAAGCTCCATGTTCTCATTAGTTTCAAGGGAGCCATGACTCAAAGTAGGTGAGACACTTCTGTTATAAAACTTCTCCATCTTATCCCTAATCCCCTCCAATTTTTAACTTTAGCAAATACATATAAAGAGTTTACCATATATTAAGTAGGCACTATTCCATTTGTTTTACAAATACTAACTCATTTGATTCCTGTAACAATCCAATAGGTTATGTCCTATTCTCTGTATTTTATAGGTAGACGGTCAAACAGCTTGGAAGAACTGTGATTTAAATCCAGGGAGTACACAGTCCATGCCCATAATCACTGTACCATTAATGCCTCTCCAAATGAGAGATATAAAGAGTGATTAGGGGCACCTGGGTGGCTCAGTCGGTTAAGCATCTGACTTCAGCTTAGGTCATGATCTCAAAGTTCGTGGGTTCGAGCCCCGTGTCGGGCTCTGTGCTGACAGCCAGCTCAGAGCCTGGAGCCTGTTTCAGATTCTGTGTCTCCCTCTCTCTCTGACCCTCCCCAGCTCACACTGTCTCTCTCCCTCTCAGAAATAAATAAAACATTAAAAAAAAAAAAAAAAAAGAGTGATTAATGTCCTAGTTAAAGGATTAAGCAAAGTCCATTCCTGCCTGCCATTTTGCACAATGCTCACTCGGATTTTAGAGGATTTATTACTAAGTACAAAGCTGTTAGTGACAACAGAAGTAAAACCAGGCCCTTAAGCTACAAAATATTTTGAGCTTTTTAAAAATCTTGAAATCTAGTATAAATTTATCTACAGAGTTATTTATCAAACTCCACTCTACTGTTTTTTTTTTTTAACTGACAGCCACACATTCCAGCTCCATTTGTAAATATAGCAAGCAGGCTACATGACATGAGAACAAATGTCCCTTTCAAGTAAACATTTATGTAGCTCTGCATTATTTATAATGATATTCTTCACCAATGTTATTCAAAACTGGTGCTTCAACTACTTTTTGTGACATGAGACCTATCAGCCTAGTTTTGCGAGGCTATACGATTTCATTCATGCCCCTGCATACTCACAGAAATTCGTAGCTGCGCTCTTCAGGTGAAGGCAGGTACATAGTAACAGCATCTAACAAGGGCTGGACACCTTTGTTTTTTAGGGCACTTCCACAAAGCACAGGCACTGCTGCCCGAGCCAGGGTTACTCTATGTACCGCAGTCTGTAGCTATAAAACAGGGACAGAAGTACTGTATTCTGTGTGCAGTAGACTGGCTTCAACTAAAGTATCTAAGAATTAGATGCCTGGCCAACCAACCATGTGAAACAGAACTACTCAGCACACTTCCATCATTCTTTATGGCCTTATTCTTCTGTATTTGTCTTTATAATATTAATCACGATTTGGCATATTGGATATATATTTACTGGTTTATTGTCTGTCTCCTTATCCACTAGAATATAAAATCCATATGAACATTATAATAAGTCCTGTAAAAACACTGCTAAATCTCCAGAAACTACACAAGTACTTAAAATAAGCAGGTGTTTAAAAATATTTCTTGAATAAATGAATTAAACATACTTCTGATTTAACCTTGACAGTCTAATAGAGGACCTGTACAGAAATTAAGACCATATATATGAATTACAATTTCTTCAAAGGAATTAGACCCACATTAAATCAAATCCAGGGGCACCTGGGTGGCTCAGTCAGTGACACGTCTGACTCTTGATTTCAGCTCAGGTCATAATCCCATGGTTTGTAAGGTTAAGCCCTGCATCGCACTCTGTGCTGACAGTATGGAGCCTGCTTGGGATTCTCTCTCTCTCCTTCTCTCTTTGTTCTTCCCCCACTTGTGGTTTCTCTCTCTCTCTCAAAATAAATAACTAAGCCTAAAAAAATCAAATTCAAAGAAAAATGAGAACTCAAAGTAGAAATCAAATTTGAAAGACCTCAAAAACCAAGGAAAGTGTGGGTGTGCTTGCAAGCTACTGGTAGGAGGAATATTATATCAATTCCACGTTATATCATAAGCTCTTTGAAAACAGAAATCATGGTGTGTGACTACAGGGCATAACAAATATCATATCTCAGGGATCAAATATTAAACAATAAAATATTTCAATCATTATGGCATTTCATTCAAAAGAAAAGTACTTTTTTCCATTTCTAACTTCAAAGGTCTCAAAATTAATCTTGAGACTTGTGTTTTTCTTTAATTCTTTTAGTGAAAAATAACTAAGTATATTTGCTGGGCTCAGTCTGGGCCCCATTATATATGTGTGCATGTGTGTGTGTGAGTGAGTGAGTGAGTGAGTGAGTGAGTGTGTGTGTGTGTGTGTGTGTGTGTGTGTGTGTGTATACATACACATAACCCTCTAAAATACTTGGGAGGTGCCTGGCTGGCTCAGTTGGTGGAGCATGCAACTCTTGACGTTGGGTTCGTGAGTTCAAGCTCTGTGTTGGACACAGAGTTGACTTACAAACAAACAAAAAAACTTTACTTGGTAACTCTTGTTTCATAAAGAAAATTAAAGACTGTCTGCTAAATTCACAGGGGAAGGTCCCTAGATGAAAATAACACAAATGCCTTGAAGAAATCTGTCCTAATTCAATTATTACTACTGTTTTACATGACTATTCTCTGGTTTAATGTATTTCAAAAGGAAACAAAAAAAGAAAAAGACCTGTAATGAGCTTCCAGTAAGAATTAAAACATTTTCAGAAAATAAAAATTGATGAGAAAAATCACTGCAGTAGTCTACAAAACCAGTAAATTTTCAATATAAAATTTCTACCTGTAATTTCCCTAAACCTACCTAAGAAATGACCACAATGAATGTGCTGCAAAGAAACGAGTAACTTGTGCCTGACTCGACAGCAGTAAAAAAAGATTCAAATTCTGATTTTGTAAAGCATATCTGCAACGAGTAAATCACTACCATTATTTAAGTACTTGTATTAATAGTGACTTTATCTTAACGTTCTCGTAATTAAGTCAGCATTTTCTAATGTTATGCAAAGTTGAAAAAAAGTAAACACTTGAAACAGAAATCAAACCACACCCAATTAGTAAAATTTCATCAGAGCAAATGAATAATAAAACTTACCTTTTCAGCTGGTAGCAAATCAAAATTTTCACTGAATTCTCCTAAAACCAAGTCAGCAAATTCATCATCCAAATCTGCAACCTACAAAGAAAGGTTTTAGTTCTATAACTTGCTTTTATTGTCACAACTATTAAGTCCAAATAAATGTACATGATCCAAATATTTCAAGAAAGCTACATGATTTACCTTATCCAGGCCATGGACCTCCAAAACATCTCAAGAGATAAAGGGTGTTTCTTTCACATAGGAAAGGAGATTGAAAATTGAAGATATGCTATTTTAACTTCCCTATATACATGAGAAGCAAGAGCCAGATAAAGTATCTCAATAAAATGCTATCCACTCAGAGTGCTCTGAAGAAATAAAGTATACAATTTACAGTGATAATATATATAATCATAAGAATATAATAAATTTAGAGGTCTTAATTAGTTCATTAAAAAGTTTCATCTAGGGATACCTGGGTGGCTCAGTGGACTAAGCATCTGACTTCAGCTCAGTTCATGATCTCATGGTTGGTGAGCTGAGCCCCCACATCAGGCTCTCTGCTGCCAGCACAGAGCCCACTTCATAGCCTCTGTCCACCCCTCCCCTGTTCTTGTGCACATGCTCTCTCTCCCAAAAATAAGTAAAACATTAAAAAAAGGTTCACTTGGTATTCTTTTAACATTATGAATATTCACCAGATGTGATAAGAGAATTCAACTAAAATAACTCATCTTATTCTAATCCCACACTGCAGGAACAGATTTAAGATGAGGGTCACAAGCATAGTTTCAGCACTAAAAATGCAATTATCTAATTCATGTTCTTTTCTTAATCATCTGCCTGTATGAAATACAATTAAGCTGACAATAAATTTAATAAAGGTTTCAAAAGTTTATAATAGTACAAAGGAGCAAAACATTCAAACTTGGTGAGAAAAACACACTTTGAACAGCTAACTATTGTAGAAACATACCTAACCATTCTCCTGGGGAATAAAGAACATATATGATAGACAAGCACTGCTTCTGGAGTTAAACTGCCTTGAAATGGCTCTACTACTTACTGACTTACTCAAAAACTTAGATCAAGTTACATTACCTCTCTCTCTCTCTTTTAAGTTTATTTTGAGAGAGAGAGAGAGAAAGCATGAGCAGGGGAGGGGCAGAGAGAGAATCCCAGGCAAGCTCCATGCTGTCAGTGCAAACCCGATGCAGGGCTCAATTCCATGAACCAAAAAGAAGATCATGACCTGCGCCAAAACGAGTCAGATATTCAACTGATTGAGCCACCCAGAGACCCCTACATTACCTCTCTTTACCTTGGTTAATCATGGAGATAATACCAGGACCTACTTCACAGGGCGAGGATTAAATAACCAATTCAAATCATGCTTCCAGAACATACAGTAAGAATATAGTAAGTGTAATTTATTATCACTATTTACCTTTAGAACACAGGAAATTGATTTTAGTCCACACTAATCTTACTCTCCAAAAAAATTTAATTGTGATAAAATGTAACATAACATAAAATTTACCATCTTAACTGTTTCTAACTGAACAGCTGAGTAATGTTAAGTATATTCACATTGTTGTAAAACTACTATCCAAAACTTTCTCAATCTTGCAAAACCAAAATTCTATACCATGAAGCAACTCTTCCTCATTCTCCTCTCCCCTATCCCCTGGCAACTACAATTCTACTTTGTCTCTCCAAATTTGACTATTCTAAATACCCCATGTAAGTGGCAGCATTATGGTATTTGTCTTGTCTTCTGGACTAGCTTATTTCAATGAGCATAATGTCCCCGAGATTCATCCATATTGTAGCAAGTGTCAGAATGTCTTTCCTTTTTAAGGCTGAATAATAATATATCATTGTATATTTATACCACATTTTATCTACTCATCTTGTTGATGAACACTTGGGTTGCTCCCACGATCTGGCCATTAGGAATGATGGTGCTATGAACAAAGAAATGTAAATATCTGTTCGAGATCCTGCTATCACTTTTTTTGGGTATACATCCAGAAGCAGAAATGCTAGGACTATTTGGTAATTCTATTTTCAATCTTCTGAGGAACCACCATACTATTTTCTACAGTGGTCGCATCATTTTCATTCCTACCAACAGCACACAAAGGCTGCAGTTTCTCCATATTTTGCCAACACTTATTTTCTGGTTGGGGGGTTTTGTGGGGCTTTTTTGATTGTTCCTATCCTAACAGGTGTGATGTGGTCTCAATCTCTAATTCTATAAATACATACATACTCCTTGTAATTAGCAATTTATTATCATCTACAGAGAGTCTCCAATCTTATTTTCATTACATATTATCATGTCCTAAGACATGCATTAGACATGCATAAGATAAAACAAAATCTCAGAGAAGAACTAATTATGCAACCAATCACTGATTAATAAATGTCTATTTTGGACACATGGGAGGCTCAGTTGGGTAAGCGTCCAACTGTTGATTTTGGCTCAGGTCAAAATCCATGTCAGGCTGTGCTGACAGTGCAGAGCCTGCTTTGGATTCTCTGTCCGACATTCTCTCAAAATAAACAAACTTTAAAATAAATAAATAGGTAAGTAAATAAGTAAATGTCAATTCTACTTTCATCTGTTTATGGCTCCCCAAATTAGAGAAGCAAGAAAGTGGGTAAGAGCTCCAGCTCTCAATGGAGACAGACCTAGGTTCCGGTTCCAGCTCTGCTCCTTATTAGCTGTAGGACAACTTAGGTAAGGAGTCTAAGCTTCTGTTTCCCCACCAGTGAAACAAGGATAATATAGGCTGCTATGAGGATTAAACATACGTAAAGCACTTAAGTTAGTTGACAGTACGCCGTCAGTAACAGTTACCCAATAACAAAAATAACAATGATCATTATTCTGCTAATAATAAAGTATATTTTATATACTTTACATATAATATACAGTAGATATTACTATATATTATAAAGAAAAATAATTACTTCAATAACAACCTGATACAAAGACTAATGAAAATAATTAATGATGACAGGATCTACTTTGACCAGTTTAATTCAGAAGTAAAAATATCAAAGGGTTCAGACTCAAATGTTCTTTACTGCCATAAGATTCAGAGAGTTTATTTAAGGCAGCTTTCATTTATTATATACCAACAATACCATATAAATATTAGCAATCTTACTATTTTCTATTATAATTTTGAGGGTGAAGTCCAGAGTTTTAATTTTATTAACTATAAAATTAATGGTTTTAAAAATTTCTAAGTTAATGTGACATTTGATGAAATAAAAGATGAACACACTCTGAGCTATTCCTAGGTTTAACCCTAAGCAAATTCTCACAAGTGTGTACAAGGAGATACATACAAAGATGTTCATAGCAACACTGTTTCTAACAGCAAGAGAGACAACATAACCTCAAAGTCTACCAACAAAAGAACAGACAATAAATTGTGGTATCATCATATTGGAACATGACAGAAGATTGAAAATGAAGCATAACCACACATAACAACAAGGATGAATCTGCAACATACTGTTATAAAATACAGTATCATTCCATTTATGTAAAGTTCAAAACCATGGAAAACTAAGTCCTTCATGAATATATTCATTCATAGCGAACTATAAAACAAAGCAAATGAGGGGCGCCTGGGTGGCTTAGTCGGTGAAGCGTCCGACTTTCGCTTGGGTCATGATCTCGCGGTTCGTGGGTTCGAGCCCCGCGTCGGGCTCTGTGCTGACTGCCAGCTCAGAGCCTGGAGCCTGTTTCAGTCTGTGACTCCCTCTCTCTCTGACCCTCCCCTGCTCACACTCTCTCTCTCTCTCCCCTAGAAATAAATAAAAAATATTAAAAAAAAAAAAAAAAAAAAAAAAAAAAAAAAAAAAAAAAAAAAAAAAAAAAAAAAAAAAAAAAAAAAAAAACAAAGCAAATGAAAGAAGGTTACAGTCTAGATAGTAGTGGGGGAGGGGCGCCTGGGTGGCTCAGTCGGTTAAGCGTCCGACTTCAGCTCAGGTCATGATCTCATGGTTTGTGGGTTCGAGCCCCGCGTTGGGCTCTGTGCTAACAGCTAGCTCAGAGACTACAGCCTGTCTTCAGATTCTGTATCTCCCTCTCGCTCTGCCCTTCCCCTGCTCATGATGTCTCTCTCTCTCCTCAGAAATAAATATAAATTTAAAAAAAATTAAAAGAGTGGTGGGGGGAGGAAATGATTAGTGGAAATGATTAGAGAGAGAAATAAACAGAAGTGGCACACAATGATTCAAGGGTATTGCTAATATTCTGTTTCACAAGCTGGGTGGGGTTGTGGAAACATCGGTATCCACTCTGTTCTTTGCTACACTTTATATATACATAAAATATATATGTACTTTATAAATTTCACAACATACAAAATATTTTTAAAGTTTTAAAACATGCAAATGTAAACTCCAAGTATTTATTTTACCTGTTCAATTAAGGCATTCCTTGCTTCAGTTGTCTCCTTAAACAATTCAGGATCACTCACTTCCAAAAGGGGTATCCTCACAAAGTCTTTTCCATCATCTGAAGTAGGGTTCCAAAGAAGTTTTTCTTTACTCACTACATCCACAACTCCTTTGAAAGCTTTGCCTTCACCAAGTGGTAACTGCAAATCAGAGTGAGATTAACTTTGCTAAATGATCACTCAATTAGAACTGCATTGATGATAAAATGTTATCTTTCCCAACTTTCCCCCAAATGGCTATTAACATTATTATCTTAATCTATATCTATTTTTATTTACATGCCAACTTTCTTTTAAAAAGACTTGAGAGTTTCAGAAATATCTAAGTCACGATAAAATGATGAGGAAATCTACAGCTGTTACTGTTAATAAACCAAATATTAACCAACCTGTAAAAGTAAGGGCTTTGCCTTCAACTTCTCTCTGATGCTTTGAACCGCATATTTAAAACTGCAGGAAGTAAAACAACTGTAATTAAAAATGTTAAGATTTTTGGGCCGCCTGGGTGGCTCAGTCAGTTAAGCATCTGACTCCTGTCAGGTCATGATCTTAGGACCCCACGTTGGGCTCTATGCTGACAGTGTGGAGCCTGCTTAGGATTCTCTCTCTGCCCCTCTCCTGATCGCTTACTCCCTCTCTCTCTCTCAAAAATAAACAAACTTTAAAAATATTAAAATTCTTTTTTTAAATGTGTATTTATTTATTGTCAGAGAGAGAAAGAGATCCCAAGCAAGCTCCGTGCTGTCAGTAGGAGCTCCATGCAGGCTTCATCTCATGAACTGTGAGATCATGGGGCGCCTGGGTGGCTCAGTAGGTTAAACGTCTGACTTCAGCTCAGCTCATGATCTCACGGTTTGTAGGTTTGAGCCCCATGTCAGGCTCTGTGCTGACAGCTAGCTCAGAGCCTGGAGCCTGTTTCAGATTCTGTGTCTCCCTCTCTCTCTGACCCTCCCCTGCTCACGTTGTCTCTCTCCCTCTCAGAAATAAATAAAAACATTAAAAAAAATTTTTTTAAATGAACTGTGAGATCATGACCTGAGCAGAAATCAAGAGTCACCCAGGCACCCCTTAAATGTTAAGATTCTTAAAACAGATTTAAGAATGTTCTCCAAAATCACAACTGTTTTCACTGTCCCTATTGTTCACCATTTACCAGTCTTCCATACGACAATATCTTGAATAAACTTTCAATGTCAATTTCAAATAATAGTGCTTGAGTATCCACCATAATCCTGCCACAGAGGTATCTAGGGTGCTGTCATAATAAGCTTCACTTATTATAGTTTGAAACGAAGATTTAAATAAATTGATTGAGGTCACCAATGATAAAGTTCAGTTATGACATTCAAATGCATGATTTGTAATTATAAGTCAAGGACTCTTTCCTCTAACTACATGTGCTATCATACAGAGCTACCACCTTTCTTCCAAAAGCCAGGCTAATTTTTCTATACCTTTCCCTTAGGCATTCTTAGTATCATGTTATCAGTTTAGAAATAGGACAGAGAATTACGAAAACACAAATCATACTGTGTGGTTTGAGGAGAGGGATAGTTTATGTTTTGTATTTGCCACTCTCACACATTGACCAGGATCTCTCCTTATCACGTTTCTACCTGCTTTGAAACTCTTTTTTTAATGGGACCAAATGGAGATTCCATGGAATATTTATACTCTAGAGGGAAGAGTATAAATATTTATAAATTTAAGTTAGAGTCCATTAAAAGCTAAAATTGTATTCCTACCTTTTTTTTAATGTTTATTTTTGAGAGAGAGAGAGAGAGAAACGGCATGAGCAGGGGAGGGGCAGAAAGAGAGGGAGACACAGAATCCAAAGCAGGCTCCAGGCTCTGAGTTGTCAGCACAGAGCTCAATGTGGGGCTTGAACTCACAAACCATAAAATCATGACCTGAGCCGAAGTTGGATGCTTAACCAACTGAGCCACCCAGACACCCCTGTATTCCTACTTTTAATTTAAAAAAAAAAACAAAAAAAACAAAAAAAAAACCTTGAAATACCTTGCTCCAGTTTTGTCCATTTTGTTTAAAAAACAGATTCGAGGTATCTCGTGTTTATCAGCTTGCCTCCATACTGTGAGAGTCTGGGCCTAGAGCAAAGAAAAAGGGAAAACAAACACATCTTGGGCAAAAATAACTCTACTACGCAAGGAACAAACAGATGTAAGAATCGACTGTAACATGGAATTGGGCCCTGTTCCAACAAAGAAGTAGTGCCGCTGCACTTGTACCTGCAGAGTCACTCTGCTAGCAGGGTAACAGAGCAAAGGACGGATGAAGTGTGATGGAAGTGTGCTTTTCAAACTGAGAACACTCACTCCTCTGGGTGACCTGGGTTGCCACACGAGGAGAACAAACACCTGGAAGGTACTAAGAGTCACGGAAAGAGGACTTAATCAAGAACTAGATGTCATTTTTGTCTGGCTTCACCTAACCTAGTACAAGTCACATCATACTGAACTCAACTGCATGCTGACCTGTGAAATATGGACTTTTGCCTTAATTCTTTTGTTGTTGTAAAAAGAATAGGACTGTACTATAAAAATGACTGTTACAAAAATATGTACTTTCACTCCTTAAACCAACATTGCACTATGTATTAAGTAAAATTTAAATAAAAAATGTTAAAAGTATATGTATCTTTATCATCAATGTTTGAATGTGGAGTTAAACTGAAGAGTAAGGGAGAAAAAAGCCAATAACTATTTCTAAGTAGCAATTCTCACATGTTTTTAAAAATTATTTTGAGAGCGAGTGAGCAAGAGAGAGAGTGAGAGAAAGCATGCATGCACACATGGGAGGAAACACAGAGAGAAAGAGAGAAAGAAAAGGAGAGAGAGAAAGAGAGAGAGAGAAAGAGAGAGAGAGACAGACACTGACTCCCAGGCAGGCTCCATGTTGTGAAAGCAGAGCCCCAACAAGGGGCACAATCCACAGAGACCACGAGATCATGACCTGAAGTGAAATAAAGAATTGGATACTTACATTAAAAAAAAAAAAATTTTTTTTAAAGGGGGGCAGCGCCTGGGTGGCTCAGTCGGTTGGGCGGCTGACTTCGGCTCAGGTCATGATCTTGCAGTTCGTGGGTTCGAGCCCTGCATTGGGCTCTGTGTTGACAGCTAGCTCAGAGCCTAGAACCTGTTTTGGATTCTGTGTCTCCCACTCTCTCTGACCCTCCCCTTCTCACACTGTGTCTCTCTTTCTCAGAATTAAATAAAAAATGTTAAAAAAAATTTTTAAAAAGAGTCAGATGCTTAACCACGAGTCACCCAGGTGCCCCCTCATATGCTTTTCTTTATGTTATTTTTTTAATTGTTATTTTTTTAAATGTTTTATTTATTTCTGACAGAGAGGCAGCGTGAGCAGGGGAGGGTCAGAGAGAGAGGGAGACACAGCATCTGAAGCAGCCTCCAGTCTCTGAGCTAGCTGTCAGCACAGAGTCCGACACAGGCCTCGAACCTACGAACCGTGAGATCATGACCCGAGCCAAAGTCGGACGTTTAACCGGCTGAGCCACCCAGGCGTCCCCCTCTAATGCTTTTCTACTTGACTGCTTTTAATTCTAATTTTTATACATATTAAATATAAATAGTTTGAGTCTGTTTTAATATCTCTGCCTAGTAGAGTCTCAAAGCCCTGGAGCAGAGCATAAATAGCCTAATGTGCTAACATTACCTGATACAGAAACCACTTTTTATAATTTGGTTAAGTAAAATTTAAATAGAATAAAAAACACTCATCTTAAGTGTATAGTGAGTTCTGATAAACATATATACGTGTGGAGCTACTATTCCAATGAAGACATAGAACCTAAGAAAGTTTTCTTACGTCTCACCCCCATAAACAACCTGTCCTCATATTTGTCACCACTGATTCATTCTTTTTGAATCTCATATAAATAACACGGCTTCTTTTAGTAACAAAGTTTCTGACACTCACTCACGTTGTTAGGTATGCTGGTTGCTTTGTCTGTTTTTGTATAAATGTGCCAGCGTGTTTGCCCACCTGCGGACGAGCACTCAGACTATTTCTAGTTTAGGGCTATTATGAATTTAGCTGCTATACATATTGTGAAGAAGTCCTAAGGGGACAAATATTCTCATTCCCTTAGATAAAGATATGGGAGTAGAAGTGCTGGGTGAGAGGACATGTGCATATTTCACCTTATGAGAAACTGCCAAATAGTCTTCCAAAGTGTAATATTTTACAGTCCCACCAACAGGATATAAGACTTCCACTTGTTCCACATCCTCAGCCATTATTTGCCACTATTTTTTCAACTTTAGCCATTCTTGTGGGTTTTTCACAAGAATGTTTTTCATTATAATTTTAATTTACATTTCTCTCATAATTAATGAGACTGAGCATCTTTTCATGTGCTCACTGGGCCACTCACATCTCTAGTGAAAAATCCACTCAAGTTTTTTATCCATTTTTTAAATTGAGTTGTTAGTTTTTATTACTGATTTGTAGTTCTTCATATACTCTGGATACAAGTACTTGATCACACCCATGTACTATGAAAATTACAGTACATACTTCCTAAAACAGTATTTCCCTACATAATCAATCGTGTTATCTATCACATTCTGGAAATTTAACATTCCTATAATATTTTATATCTAACTTGAGAAATTTTCTCATAGCCTACAGCTTCCCTTTTTATTTGTTTTTAGCTTTAATGAGAAGATATAATTTTGTTAAGATCCAATGAATCAACTTTTCTTCTTTTAGTATGCTTTGTATCCTAAGAAATTGTTACCTACCCTCAAGGTAACTAATTTCTGTGTGTGAGGTGGTGGTTGGGGGCATAGTATAAATTTTCCAAGAAAACATATTATAAAATATATAAAAACTTCCATTATCCTACCTGCTAGCTAAAAGTCCATTTATTGTTTCAGGAAATAAGAGGATTCTGTGTCACAAATTCAGAAACTTCCTATTCCAGTATATTTCGATCCTATAAATAATGCCATCTGTCAAATTTACATAAAGAAGTCATAATGACAGAAAAAATGCAACCATTAGGAAATGAAGTGATTTGGAAAGAAATGGAAATTATATATAATCAATGTCAAACCTCAGGGTCAGGCTTTATTTAGATCAAAAAAATATCACTGCCTGTCAGCAGTCCTCAGGTCGGGCTTTCAATAACTGTATTATTCCCCCCCCAAAAACAACTTTTCATTCCAAAAAATCTCAAACCTATAAAAAAAAAAGTGAAAGAACAGTGCAATAAATATTGATGTACACTTCATGTAGATTCACTAAGTATGAACACTTTGCCACACTTGCCTTTTTTTCTTCAAACTATGCACACCTTAGAATGTGTGCACTGGCTATGGGGATGTGCCACTTGGATCTACAACACAGAGCATAATTAAATGATAGATCCAACTGCTATTCATCTTGACTACTACCATGGTCTCTCAAGGGCCAGCTAATGGCCGAGCAGAGAAGAAGTACTAATGTAGGTTAATCCTACAAAACATGTGGGACTTCTCCAACAGGTGACTTTGGCTTGCGGACTCCCCATCAGCTTAGCCAAACCCTTTTTGGAACTGCTGTAGTCTGAGACTCTTCCTACCCAATCCTCCTTCATCCTCTCCTTGACTGACAGATGTCAAATCTGCCCTGTGGTCTGAAATCTCTCTTACACTTCTCTTTTCTCCTTTAATCTTCATAGGCATTTCCCCCAATAAATCTTTCATGTATCTATCCCACCTTGGCATCTACTGCTCAAAGTATCCAAACTAACAACATACATGTATGTGTACATGGGAGGTGAACCACTAGAGCAAGATGCAGATGTCATGACACTTTAATACTAAATACTTCAGCCCATATTTTCTAAAAGTAAGGATATTCTCTTACATAAGCATTTACAAAGATCATATTCAAAAAGAATTTAAGCTGATACAATACTTTATTCTAGTAACATATAGTCTACATTAAAATTTTTCTGATTTTCCTAATAATGATCTTTGTAACTTTTTGTTTTTGAATCCAGGACCCTGCCAAAGATCGTATTACACTTAGTTTTCTTGTTTGTTTAGAATCCTTTTAACTACAGGGGCACCTGGATGGCTCACTTGGTTAAGCGTCCAATTTCAGCTCAGGTCATGATCTCACAGTTCAGGAGTTCAAGTCCCACATTGGACTCTGCTGACAGCTCAAAACCTGCAGCATGCTTTAGATTCTGTGTCTCCCTCTCTCTCTGCCCCTCCCCTGCTTGCACTCTGTCTTCTCTTTCAAAAATAAACATTAAAAAAAACCTTTAAAATATCCATTTGATTGTTTTCTCATGATTAGATTTGGGTCAAACATTCTGCCAGGAATATAACGTAGATAATGTTTTATCCTTCTTAGTGCATCCTATCAGAAAGCCCATGATGCCAATTTGGAAAATGTTAATATTGATCACTTAATTAAGGTATCACTTTTAAATACATATTTTTAAATTTTTTAATGTTTATTTATTTTTGAGAAACAGAGTACAAGTTGGGGAGGAGCAGAGAGAGAGAGGGAGACACAGAGCCCGAAGCAGGCTCCAGGGTCCGAGCTGTCAGCACAGAGCCCGACACAGGGCTCGAACCCACAAACTGTGAGATCATGACCTGAGCCGAAGTCGGTTACTTAACCAACTGAGCCACTCAGGTGCCCCAAGGTATCAGTTTCAGTAATTTTAAGATTAGAAGCAGAGGATTCTATACTCAATAAAAAGCCAATCTTGAAATTATAAGACAAATGGAGATATGCTAAGGAGTACATAACTGACCCCAGTATAATTTATTATAAGTCCACTTTTAAGATTTATTAAAAAAACTTAATAATTGTTGGGACACAATTCTTCATGGGTCTTTCACCTTTCTACATAGTCTGTATGGAGAGGCACTAACTGCCTTTGTTCGGGGCTATGTTTTCAAAGATGTCATTACAGTAAATAGCTTAGAAAGAGAAGTGTCTTCCTCTGTATCAAAAGGCAGGTTTGCTTAAAAGCCTGGAAGATAATCTCTCTCTAGAGCAAACAGCAGGCATGCTTACTGCCCATTATAAAACATGTGCGTTTTCTAAGCACAGGGTTCCACTGCATGTACAACTGTCACTTGACTCCCTTTAGGTCACACTGTGGGAAATGGGGCATGAGGAACTAAGACAAGAAATTACCGACACTCTGACCATTGCTATTTCTGTGACTAATAAAGTCCTTTGTCTCTGACTCAAAAGTCTTATGTTTTCTGCCAGCATGCCATAAAACTGTGGTAGGTTAACTAGTTAAAGAAAGGTACAAGAATATCATGCCCTTCAGTTTTCAACATTAACTTTCCTATTTCCTTCTGAAAAGCAAATACTTTCCTCTTACTACAAAATATGAGATCACATGTAGATCATGTGATTGCAGTATTAAATTCAATTTCTTTTCACCATAATTTGATTAATATGAACTTAATAAATACAGGGCTAAGTAACTAAATCTGATACATTCTACTTTAAAAAAAATCATGCTGTTGTATCTTCACTTTACTTTGGCAATATTTTTTACCTCTACACCAGCCGAGGCATCAAACACAGCTACTGCACCATCCAACACTCTAAGGCAGCGCTCAACCTCCAAGGTAAAGTCCACATGACCTAAGAAAAGGATGGGAAACATAACACTTAATATCTTTTATTTTTTTATGTTTGTTTATTTTTGAGAGAGAGAGAGAGCATGAGTAGGGAAGGGGCTGAAAGAGAGGGAGACACAGAATCCAAAGCAGGCTCCAAGCTCTGAGCTATTAGCACAGAACTTGATATAGGGCTCGAACTTAAGAGACCGGGAGATCATCACCTGCGCTAAAGTTGGACACTCAACAACTGAGCCACCCAGGTGCCCAACACTTAAAATCTTTTAAAAACTGAACAAAAAAACATGATCCAGCAATCCGACTTTGGGGTATATATCCAAAAGAACTGAAAGGAGAGTCTCAAAGACTATCTGCACACCACACTCACAGCAAAACTATTCACAATGGCCAAGAGGTGGAACCCACCCAAATGTCCAATGGATGAATGGTGTATATTTATATACAAATAGGTTTTTGTATATTTTTGTATATTTATATTTATATTGTATATATATTGTATATATATATTATATTGTATATTGTATAAATTTGTATATTTATATACAAATTAGGTTATCTATGTACAATGGTATATCATGCAGCCTTAAAAATAAAGGAAATCCTCTCACATATTACAAGACAAATAAACCTTGAAGATTTCATGCTAAGCAAAATAAGTCAGCCACAAAAGGATAAATACTGTATGATTTTACTTATATGAGGTATCTAAAGTAATCTCCTAGATTAAAAAGTATAACAGTAATTACCAGCGATGGAAACAGATGAAAAAAAAGAGTAGTGGTAAAATGGATATATAGTTTCAATTCTGTAAGACTAAGTACCCCTGGAAATCAGTTTCACAACAACGTAAAATACGCTTATCTACTGAACTATACTCTTAAAAAATGGTTAGGATGGTAAATTTTATGATAGATTTTTGACCATAATTAAAAAGGAAACACAAACATGAATAAAAACCTCAAATGATGCAGCATCTCTGCAATGCTCAAAGAGCACCATACCTGGAGTATCAATTAAATTGATTCTGTACCCTTTCCAATCAAATGTAACAGCAGCAGACTGAATAGTAATGCCTCTTTCTCTCTCTTGAGCCATGAAATCTGTCACTGTGTCTCCATCATCAACATCTGCAAAGGAAAAAGATAACACAGTTAGACTTCATACCAAGTATATTTTATTGGGATAGGATATCTACTTGACAGTTTAATTTGCTTTAAGATTATTTAGGGGATGTCTGGGTGGCTCAGTCAGTTAAGCGGCCAACTTCGGCTCAGGTCATGATCTTATGGTTCATGAATTCGAGCCCTGCGTGGGGCTCTGTGCTGACAACTCAGAGCCTGGAGCCTGTTTCAGATTTTGTGTCTCCTTCTCTCTCTGCCCTTCCCCTGCTCACTCTCTGTCTCTCAAAAATAAACATTACAAAAAAATTTTTTAAAAAGACTCTTTATAAAAATATTTGGTTTAATATCTAGAGGCCTTAATCTTTGTCTACATAAATCCTTGTTCTAGAAAGAGCTTTCCCAGCAAAATTAATAATTTTTCCATAAAAAATAATTTTTCTCTAACAACTAAGATTAAAATCTAAATCTTTTAATTTTTCTAAACTTTGTATTTCTTTCATTTTTTCCCCCTAGTTTAACTTTCATTATCCCTTCTTATGTTCCTCACATCTGATCCCTTGACAAGGAAGAGGGAGGGCAGTGCGATGAAAGAGCATAGACAGATCTAGATTTAAACCCCAACTTTACCATTACTGTTCTATGAACCCGAGCAAGGTACTTAACCTAGTTTGTAAAGCAAGGTTAACAAAGGCCACCTTGCTGGGTTGTTGTAAGAATGAAATGAGACTGTGTAAAGTACCTAGCTCAGTAAATGATAAGTAAATGGTAGCTACATGGAACAAGGTAAAGAAAAAATTCCTCCCAAGTAAAACTGTCCTTTATAAACCCTTATGATTACTAAATTTTCCCCCCAAAAGACACATATGTGTACAAATGAAAAGAGTCTTAGTAGAACTTCTACAGTAAACAGTTATGGATAAAGTTCATCTTGACTACCAATTTATTCTGCATTAAAATTCTTGTATTCTCATTAAGTTTATACAGTAAAAAAAAAAAATGAGCTTGTCATTACCATTCAAAACTCAAAACCACAAGTGATCATTGCCTTATGCTACCACTACATATGTCAGCATCAAACCTCTAAAGTGCTTACCAGTTTCCCCACTGTTTGTGGACGTACAGATGTGTATAAACATATGTATACTTGAGTGCCAACAGAGGGAGAAATAGCAAGAAAAACTTATTTTTCAGGAAACCTAAATATCTATGTTAAAAATGGGTTGCCAATTATTCACAAAACTAATGAAGAAAACAAACATGATTAATGAGACAAAGACCAAATACCTAACCAAAAGCCCTAAGTTTTTATTTGTTTATGTTTTAATGTTTATTTACTTCTGAGAGAAAGAGAGAGAGACAGAGAAGGGACAGGCAAGAGAGGGACAGAGAGAAGGAGATACAGAATCTGAAGCAGGTTCTGGGCACTGAGCTGTCAGCACAGAGCCCAATGTGGGGCTCAAACCCACGGGTCACAAGATCATGACCTGCACTGAAGTCAGACACCTAACTGAGCCACCCAGGTGCCCCAAAAGCTCTAAATTTTTAAAACATTTGTGGAGGGGGTGCAAGATGGCAGAGTAGGAGGACCCTAAGCTCATCCTGTCCTACTTTTACAACTAGGTATCACTCACATCTGAGTCAATAAACTGGATAGCAATCTGAAGACTGGCAAAACAAACTCCACAGCCAAACACAGAGAAGTAGTCAGCACTGGAAGAGTTGGGAAGGGCAGAAAGGCGGCCAGGAGCACTGCGCACAGAGGGAGGAAGCTGTGGTCACAGAGAAGGGAATGCACCAGGGAGTCTACACAGGAAAAAAGAATCCCCCTAACCTCCGGCCTCGAAAACCAGAGGGACTGAATTCCATGACTCTGTATAACTAGGGGACTTGGGAGTCTAGAGCTCTGAAGGTCAGGTGACTCAGCACTGAGCAGCCAGGAGCACACATGATAGCCAGGTCCCTGCTCTTAAAGAGACAATGGCCTGTAGAAGAGTCAGCACAGAAGTGACAGCTTGCACAAAGGGAAGGACATCTATTTATAGATGCTCTGATTTCAGAGCACACTGGGGAACTTCTCTGAGAACAAAGGCACTGGCAGATGCCACTTCCCCCCCCCCCACCTCTCAGCACAGACACCTGCTCCCCAGCAGGTGCTACACACACATCCACGAGGTAGCGCTGGGAGTGCCATGAGCTCTCCTGAGGAATCACCCATTCTAAGTCGGCTGGCCTAGGCCCTGGGCTCAGGACAAATTTTATTAACACCGCATGTGCCCCAACCAATCACTGTCTCTGCATGCTATGGCCCCGTGGCCACCGCACTTCGGCAGATCTGGCCAGGTCTATGCAGATTTTGCTAAAGTTGAATGTGCCAAGCCGCCAGGCAGAGACCCACGCACTCTTTGTCACTACCTCAGCCGTGTGCCTTGTGTCCGGCCACTGACACATGCCACAGCACTGGCCAGCACTGTGATTTGGGGGATTCGGCCGAGGACCAATGACTCAGTGCGAATTTTGGTTAACATTGCTGCCTGGCCCCTGAGCCCTCCTACAGTCTGCCTGGGTCAATACCACAGAGAGCAAGCACAGCCTACACCAGGCAGAGAGTCAGTGCAGAAGCCTGGACTGAAAGAGAAATCACAATAGTAGGACTCAAGCAACACACACAGAAGACTCCCCTGAAGTGTCACATCCTGGAGAACAGGGGACACTGCACTGCAGGGCACTACAGGACCTCTTCATCATACAGCCACTACTTTTAACAGCAGGAGATATAACTGACTTTCCTAATACACGGAAACAGACACAGAGGGTAGACAAAATGAGGAGACAGAGGAGTATGTCCCAAATGAAAGAACACGACAAAATCACAGCAGGAGATCTAAGTGAAACAGAAATTAGGATGCCTGATAATTTAGAATAATGATCATAAAGATACTCACCAAACTTGAGAAAAGAGTGGAGGATATTGGTGAGACCCTTAGCAAAGAGAGAAAAAAATAACATCAGGCATGAAGACTCAATAAATGAAATAAAAAATATAATAAATGGAATAAAAAAGTAGGCTACAGGAAGCAAAGAAATGTATCAGTGATCTGAAGAACAGAGTAATGGAAACAAATCAAGATGAATAGAGGAAAGACAAATCCGCATAATAAGAACTGACTTACAAAAACACAAAGTTCTTAAAATGGAAAAAAAAAACCTATGATGAAGAAATAATTTTATAAGTTGCAAGAGAAAAGACGACAGTTACATACAAAGAAATCCCATAAGGCTATTAGTGGTTTTTCTAGCTGACCGAAACTTTGCAGGCCAGAAGGGAATGGCATTATATACTCAAAGTGCTCAAAGGAAAAAATCTGCAGCCACGAATACTCTATCCAGCAAGGGTATCATTTGGAATTGAAGAAGAGATAAAGACTTTCTCACACTAACAAAAACTAAAGGCATTTAGGACCACTAAACCAGCCCTAGAAGTATTAAAGGGGACTCTTTGAGTGTGAAGCAAACACCTTAAGTGAAAGTGTAAAAAAGTAAGAAACATTAAAGTAAATACTTCCAGGGGCGCCTAACTTTGGGTCAGGTCATGATCTTGCGGCTTGTGAGTTCAAGCCCCAAGATGGGATCTGAGCTGTCAGCCTGCTTCAGATTCTCTGCCCCAACCCTGCTAATGCTCTATCCCCCTCTCCCCTCTCTTTCTCAAAAAAAAAAAAAAAAACATTAGGAAAAACAATTGTCTTATGTAAATGCTTCTGTAAAAACAAGTTAAGATATTAATAATATAAAAAGATATAAAATATACCCTATACCTAAAGCATGGGGGTGGGAGTAAAGAGGGTTTAAGCTTCTGCAATCATCAACTTAATATAGACTACCATATGCAGAAGAGGTTATACACAAACTTACACTCCAATCAAAAGACAGAGGGCTGACAGAATGAATAAAAACAAGATTCATCTAAATGCTACTCATAAGAAACTCATTTCTGAAAGAATGACACTTGCAGACTGAAAGGGAGGGGAGGGGATGGAAAAACATTTATCACACACATGGATGTCGAAAGAAAACGAGGGTAGCCATACTTATGTATCAGACAAAATATACTTTAAAACAAAATCTGTAACAAGAGACAAAAACCACTGTATAATAATAAAGGATACAATCCAGTAAGAGAATAACAATTGTAAATATTTATAAACCCAGTATGGAAGCATCCAATTACATAAGACAGTAACAAACATAAAGGAACTAATCAAAAGTAATACAATAATAGTAAGGTGACTTGAATACCCCACTTACATCAATGGACAGATCATTCAAACAAAATAAATAAGGAAACAGTGACTCTGAATGACACACCGGACCAGATGGATATAACAGTGTGTTACATCTGCTGTTTCTAAAACAGCAGAAAACACATTCTTTTCAAACACACACAGAACATTCTCCGGAATAGATCATGTATTAGGCCACGGAACAAGTCACAACAAAATATAAAAATCCATGTCATACCATGCATCTTTCCTAACTACAACACTATGAAACTAGAAAGTAACTACAAAAAACCTCTGGAAAGACCACAGATACATGGAGATTAAATGACATGCAATGGGTCAACCAAGAAATCAAAGAAGAAATAAAAATTTACATGGAAACAAATAAAAATGAAAATACAATGGTTCAAAAACTTCAGGATGCAACAAAAGCATATAGCAATACAGGCCTACTTCAAGAAGCAAGAAAAACAACCTAACCTCACATCTAAAGGAGTTAGAAAAACACCTAAAACTCAAACCCAGCAAAAAAAGAAAATACAGATTAAAAGACAAATAAATGACATAGAAAGTACAAAAAAATTAGGATGGATCAATGAAACTTGGAGATAGTTCTTCGAAAGGATCAACAAAATTGAAAAACCCACAGCAAGATTCATTTAAAAAAAAAAAAAGGAAAGAGCGAAAGAGGGAAAGAGAAGAGGGTTGGGGTGACCCAAATAAAATAAC